AAAAAAAAAAAGAGAGAACAATTAGGGACAATTTCAATAATCTAGGAATTTTTTTTTTCTTAAAAAAAGGTAAAAAATTTAATAGCAGCTCTCTGAAAAATACATATATATAATTAATATATATGTATATATATATTATTAAAATATATATTTTCTGATTTTAAGTGTTTTTAAAAAAAAAATCAACAAATAAAATAAAAAAAACCAGGATAGTAAGGTTTTTTCGTCATTTTAAATGCGTATCGTTAGTGTACAAATGTATAAATTTTTTTTAGAATTTTAGTGACAACCTTATATAAATTTTTTTTTTTTTAAATAAAAAAGAAAAAGAAAAACGAAAATTGACAACTATTTATAATCTCTGCCATTAATGCTATGAACAAGTTCGGTCAGATGTCGATTGTTACCCATGGTACTTGCTATTTGACAACTTGATCGTAACCAGCTCTTTTGTTGGTTTTGATCGTTTTGTAGCTTACCATCCTTCAATTCTCTGAGAAAATACGTGAAATAAATAGACAACCCGATTAAAAATGCCTTGAGAGTGCTACGAAAAGGTGTAGAGTAGTGCCCCGTGGTGAGTAGCTGTCTCTTATACACATCTAGATGTGTATAAGAGACAGGTATAACGAGGATGTGACATTATACTCAAGTAAAAAATAAACACCTCGGCCCAAGCTCGGCCCAGCGGTTTGGCTGGGTGTCTATTCATCACTTGCGTATGTTTCTCACCCTTTATGTTACACACTGCCAAATGTCACAATACTCTACTCACCACGGGGGCCCTACTCTCAGTGTGTAAGATCTGAACCAAAAGTCATGTGCACAAGTTGATAGATTTATTACTAAATTAAGAAATCATAACAAATCCTTATCTAAAATTGCCTTTTTTATATATAATTTATCTATTTTTAGTAATAATTTGTGCACATTTTTTGTTGTGTAACTGTGCACACTTAAAAACTAATATGCACATATGCACCTTGTGCACATAGATTTTACACACTACGGCTACTCTACACCATTTCGTCTTACCGCTAAATTTATGGTAAAAAAACAACAATTTTACCCCATTTGTTTATTATCTCAATTGCGTTACATGATCATCTTTGTTACAACCGATAAAATCTAATGGGTCTTGATTTCTAAGTTTTTAACGTGACAATATAGTTGTAAGAAATTGAACTTTTGTTTATACCACAATTTAAAAAAAAAAAAATTTAAATAAAATCTTATCATTATTTGATTATAAAGTTAGGTGAAATTTATTATTCTAAAATGGGAGGGTGAAAAACTTTTGTGACAAACATGTTACAATTTTTTTTTTTTTTTGAAAAATAAAATAAATAATACATAAATTTTAAATATTTACACGTGATGGCACCCAATCATTTCCGTAATAGGTTTAAATATAAATAAACGACTTTTAAGGTTGATTCCACAAATCGATAATGTGTTGAGCGGTTGGTTCGAAGAAAGATGATTGAATGGGTGGTTGAACGTGAACGGATTGTTCATGGAAAGATGAAACGGCGTGATGACACATTTTTTTGATGTAATGAGGCATAAATTTTGCCGATTTTTGATCAAAAAAAGATTTCAGACAACTGATCTATCAGAATCGCATCCTAGCTTTTATGAGAAAGTTATTGAATACACTATTAAACTATGGAAGGATATGGAATCTTACTGGAATAATCTTGGAGAAAATAGTGAATTGGATCTTAAAAACTAGATAATGAAGTAATGTTTAAAGTCTTAATTGAAATAAAAATTAATTTTGTCGATTCTTATTAAAGAAATCTTTCTATAACTGAAAAAGAAAAGTGTAAAATTGAAGAATGTGAGAATCTTACTAAATCGCTTGAAATATTTGACAGAGGATTAAATTATTTTTCAGCTTTTACTAAGCTTGTTCTCTATATTCCATTTACTCAGGGATAACAATTTACAGCGAAGCATCGGTATTGTATGAGTATGCAATTATAATTATTGTTTTCATAATACTGTATTTGCAATTTCACTATTTGTTCACTTTTTCCTGTTCATTAGCATCAGATTGAATAGCAAAATTTTAATTACAGGTATTAAATCAATACATAGATTATTTTTTTTTTTAATAAGAACTGGTCTTAAGAACTAAGAAAGTTATTTAACCAAGTACATTAATGTTTAGTATTTAAATTTTATTATATTTAAATGTCTCTAAATATTTTTTAACAATAATATTATAAATCTCTTTTTTTTGTATAAAATTTTAATATACCGTAAATTTGAAATTAAATATCATTACGCGATGTATAATTATCATGTGATAATATCAGTAATTGATTGGTTATTATGTTCACTATGATTATGTATAATAAACTACATTACGAGATTTCACACAAAATAATAGTTCTATTTTGTAATTCTATCTTAAAATTATTTCATTATACTTTTTAAAATAATTTTCTAATTCATTCAGTCGTTCTAATCTCGTATTCTAGTTTCATAAACTCTTTATGTAAATTTAAATCATAATCTATTAACTCGTTTTTAAATTTCTAATATAGTAGTTCTAATTTCAGCAAAATGACCCTTTAAATCATTTTAAAGCTTTTAATTATAAAATTTTTATGACTTTAATCTTCATTATTTCTAAGCATTTCTTGCATAATTTATGATAATGCTTGTTAGTTTCTTTGCACTTAATAGTTGTACATGCAGGATAAAATAATTTATTTATACAATTGTTTGTGATATTTGAACATGAAAACAAAATGAATTCATTTTAAAGTAAATAATAATTAAATCTAGGTCATTTTATTCATATTATTAAGTTCATAAATTATATTTAAAACATATTATTCTATTGGGATATTTCTAAACAATAATTATATTTTGGTATTATTGAAGAGTAAGGAATCTCCCAAAATTTTATCTACAGCACATGAAAAAATTTTTTACATGCAGTAACATACTAACATTGCATCGCATAAAAGTTTGAAGGCAAGTGGGCTATGAATTTTACGTAGTGACTGGCGGGCGCAAATTTTCCAGTGTGTCGTGTAAAATAATAAATTTCGTTGTAATCTCTATATTTGGTTTGTGTCATGTATAATTAGGGATGGTAAAGTCCTAGGTCCTGGACCTAAAGACCTGGTCCCAGGACCTAGTCTGCAGATCTTTGTCCAAATTTTGGGACCAGTTCCTAAAAAATCCTAGCCAATAAAGTATCAATATATATTAGATAGAAATCAAACATTAAATATACAGGTCATAAGAGATCTATATAAAATTATATAATTAAAATCATATAAAAAAAGTGAGTTACGATATTGCGATTCATATTTTTATATTAAAATCATATAAAAAGGTGAATCGCAATACTGCAATTCACTTTTTTTATATAAAAATCAATATAAAAAGGTGAATCGCAATAATATATATATATATATCTGCAACTCACTTTTTTTTATATAAAATCAATATAAAAAAGTGAATCGCAATAATATATATATATATATCTGCAACTCACTTTTTTTTTATATAAAATCAATATAAAAAAGTGAATTCCAATACCGCAACTCACTTTTTTATATAGAATCAATATAAAAAAGTGAATCCCAATACTCCAACTCCCTTTTTTTATATTTAGTTATCACTAGATCCATAAATTCTATAAATAACTTGGTTCAGGATCAGGTCCTGGGACTAGGTCCGTTCAATAGGACTTATAGGTCCCGGGACCAGGACCGGACCAGGACCGACCTAACCATCCCTAACTATATGATTAAGAAATATTTCAAATGAGATTTAATTGTTCGAATCGCCCCAATAAAAAAAATAGCTAAAACAAATTTAGATAATACAACGAAATTGATTATGCATATTATACCGCCAGCCGTGATGATAATCAGAATATTACTAACTTACCGTATAATATGCATAATCAATTTCGTTGTATTCTCTAAATTTGCTTTGGCTATTTTTTTTATTGGGGCGATTCGAACAATTAAACCTCATTTGAAATATTTCTTAATCATACAGTATTAAATACAATATTTACATATAGTCTGTATTTATTAACTATATGTATATTATTAACAAACAATTTAATTTATCTAATGAGTATTAATAATTTAATCGGTGTGTTCGGTTGTGTGTTCGATATAAATATCGGCATTTTTCAAATATTTTTCATATCTAAAAATGACAAAAATAGTTTTAATGTAAAATTATGCGTGTATACTTCAAGTTCTCATAATTTTTTATGTGTTCATAGTGTGTTCGTGTGTTCGGTGTGTTCGACAAACAAAGAAACCCATTATGTACGACAGAACAAGGCAATCATAAATATTATGTAATGAGTCTAATCATTGTGACACTGATAATTTGGCGTAATTTCTTTTCTGTAATAGGAACTTCTAAATAAAAAAATTGCTCGTGATTCTGCACTTGAATAACTTTAATTCTAATAAAATTTTTAGATAGAAATCTTGCTGAATAACAGGCTATGTCGCGCAGTCATAGCAATAAATTATTTATAAAAAAGAAAATTTTTGTTAAATTGTTAAATTCACTTAAATAAAAAAAAAAATTTTTTTTTTTATTACACTATATCATGGCAAAAGAAATCAAAAATATTCTATTGGTTGGCAGAACAGGTGCTGGCAAATCAACCTTGGCTAATGTGATAAGTGGAACAAAGTATTTTGAGGCAAGTGCAAGTAGTGTTAGTGTAACTAAAGAAGCAAAAGCAAAAGAATTTACAAGAAATCAAATAAATTATCGAGTAATAGATACTGTCGGTTTTCAAGACACAACACTGGATGAAAAGGAAGAATTATTAGCTGAATTCAGAAAGGAGGTTGACAATTATATTTGTGAAGGCATATTACAAATTCTACTTGTAGTAGATAAAAGATTTACTAAGAACGAAATAGATGATTTTAGGTGGTTTAGTTCCTATCTTTTTGATGATAAAGTTTTTGATTATACTACTATTGTACGGACACATTTTCCTGATTTTGAAGATGGTAATGCGTGTAAAAGTGATACTGAAGCATTAATTAAATCCAGTAAAGATAAATATAAAGATATTGAGAAAATGCTATCAGAAGGAAGAATTATTCATGTAGATAATTCTCATGCTGAAAAGAGTCGAAATAAGTTGTTTGAATACATGTTGGAAAAAGAATGCATGATGAATAATTATAAGCCAATGACTTCAAAAAGCATAAAGAATAAATTCAACTCGCTGAAAAAAGAAATTGGTTCGTTATTAACTAAACTTGGCTTAACTAAAATTGGCTACAGTATTAAGAATTATTTCAATGGATTTTTTTCATCTAATTCACCTGATGAGAAACAATTGCTTTCAAAGAAATTGGAGGAATTAATTGAGTTGAAGGAAAAAATAGAGGCGGGAAAACTAGTAAATAAGGATTTAGAAGAAAGGGATTCGAAATTATCTGAGTCTATTAGTAAATTTAAGGATAGACTAGATGATGAAGAAAAAGAATATTTGGATAGGTTGCTTAATGTTCAGAAGGAAATTTCCAAGGCTGATTTGGGAGGTTATTCGAGTGAAGAGGAATCAGAATTAAAAAAATTAAAAAATGAATTAGGAACTTTAAAAAGGAAACTAGCGGGCCAATTATCTAAAATTGAAATCAATAATTTATTAGAAGAAAAGGAATGGATTACAAGATCACTAATTTTATCTGGAGAACTAGAAATAAATGAAAGAAAACAACTTCAACAAGAGATTATTAAATACTCTACAATTATTGGATTAAAAGATATCGATATTAGAAGTAAAAGTAGTGTAGAGGAATTATTACGCGAGGAGCAGCTATTAAAGAAATTCAAACTTAAAAATGATGATGATTCCATTTCATCTGTGGAGGGTGATGATAATTCTATAAGTTTTAAAGAATGGAATAAGATTGATTTGACTATGAGGATTGGAGAAAAAACTCTTAAGTTGAAACAGTTAAAGGAGAATATAAGTTTTGATAACGAAGCCCAAATTTTATTGGAAATGCTATTAAGTACTCAGGAAAAGGTTTCAAAGGTTGGTAATGTTGGAGCTATGCAAGAAAAAAAAGATTTGCAACAAAAATTGAAGGCAAAAGGTGGTTTTAATAGGTTGGTTAACATTTTAAATAAAAATGAAGAAATTATCAAATTGAAGAATCAAGTATATGAACGGAAAAAATCACCATCATCAAAATATTTAAGTATACAACAATATTTGGACCAATTATATCCAACCGAGGAAAATAAAAGAAGAGTAGAAGAGATTGCAATTGATTTTTATGAAAATCCTATTGAAGGCATTGTCGGAGGGAAATTGAATTTACAAAAATATCCTAATTTAAAGAGACTGATAATTGATGGTGAATATTTGAAAAGCAAATTGACTGAGTTGAATGTGAGTGGTTGTTCTAATTTGGAATTATTGCATTGTATAGAAAATAAGTTGATTTCCTTGAAATTAATGAATAACAAAAACCTAAAAAAAATAACCCTAGCTTATAATCATTTAAATGCCATTAGTTTTTTAAAAAATATTCCTTATCCTCGAAAGCTTGTTCATTTGGATATTTCCAACAATAATATCCAAAATAATGGCTTAGAGTTTTTGAAAGATTTTGTAAACTTAGAGGTTCTATCTTTAGGGAATTATAATGAAAATTTTTCCAATAACTTTACAGGTTCATTTGTATCTTTGAAAAAATTAACTAAATTAAAGGAATTACATATTAAAGATTCTGGTATTATAGGGATAGATGGGTATGTTAATCCAGCAAAGGTGAAAATAGGATAATATGATGCTGTTTTTCTACTCCTGTATGTAGTATTGGTGATTTTTTTATACCTTTTTTTATATTTTTTTTTCGAGGCGACAATCATGTCATAAAGTCATAATGGTTGTTAGGGAGGTGCTATATAGATAATCTAGGTTATTGTAATAGTTTCACATTTTATTTTTTTATAAAGAGCAGAAAAACGATTAATGATAGCATTCAGGATCAAGTGAAAGTTCAAATTATTAACTAAATCCTTTTTTTTAAAAGATAGTGAGTTAAGGAAGTTGATAATATTATAGTTTGATTTTTTTATTTTTTATTTATTTTGATATGCTGTATATTTATTTATTAGAACTCTATTGTCTGTTATCATATATAGCGATAGTAACCAATTTTCTTTTTAATTAGGATGATTTATTACTCGATTTGACATACCTTATACAATATTTTAGTAAATATTATATATTTATGTCTGTTTTAAATGTATGTAAAATATTACAATTTTATTCGCATTAACGAATAACGATAAACTTTAATTAGAACAATGCATTGTGTGATATAATCGAACATTTTCTATTCGTCAATATAAACTCCATGAATAAAATTTTTAAATTTATATTTAAAATATTTTATACAGTAGATGAAACATAAATACATAAATCCTACTATGATATTGTATAAGGTATGTCAAATTGGATTTTACGAAATCGATCGAAACGACTAAAAACAGATCGGTTATTCGGTTACATGTCCTCTTTTTATTTTACAGATTACAAAAAATCGTACATAGTAGATCCTAAAAAATTTCATTTTAACGTAGTTCAGAAGGTCTAGTATCAGCCATCAGGCACAATGAGTGGGCACAGCCATTAACGTTTGCGTGCACTCCACCTCGCTTTGAAGTTAAACTTGAGGTCATTTACTATGCTCGTGATAATCACTTTTCGTAAGTGATCGACGTGCCAGTACCAAATGTCATCGGCTCGATTTAAGTCTAATTTCGGTCGATGCGAATTACATAGCATCGAGTAGAATTATAACTTCATTATGTGAGTTTTTACGTAATCATGACTTCTTTTTCACTTTGACTCGTGTATGATGAGCCGCGGGACAAAAAATTAAAAAATTATGAATTTATCGAACTAATTCTTCAATTATCAGATGTTTAATTATACAGTGCGTAACTTCTATAATCGACAAGTGACAAAAATTTATTAAAACATAAAAAAATTCAAACTAAATTTAAAATTTTATCCAATAAAAATGATAACTACCAGATAATTTTTTATATAAATAAATATTTAAAAAGTTATATCGATTCAATTTTACTATAAAATTAAAAATTGTGACTATGAAAAATTTGTACAATGATACAATTTCTATATTAATAGATCTCTGATAGTTGTCAAAACAACAAGAAAAAAACTGCAGGGACTTGCTCAAAACATTAAAACTGGATAATAATGTTTTTGAATCAGATTTTTCTCAATCAGATTTTGATTTCTCTGAAAATGAAGATAGCATTTATAATGAGATGTTTAAAATACATAGTCCCAAATTCTCAATTATAATTGGCTTATTAATTATCATGTGATGATTTGATTAAATTTTCATTAAAAAAAAGTTTATATATAAAAAGTTTATCACGTGATCAGGACGTAATTTTATTGGTAAGTATATAAATTCTTTACCCTTTTAAAAGTCAACCAATCAGATGTCACGATTTTATATATAACCTTTTTTTATTAATAAACAATACAATATCGTAAGTTACAAAAAAAAAGATTGGTTAATAATATAGCGTTGTCCTTGCGCGTAAATAATATATTTCAGTTATATATTTCCCACGATACAAATAAACTTATGGCTTACTTTTTATTTTTATTTTTAATCACCGAAAAAATTATAGATTTTTCTTAATACGCAAAAAAAAAAATAAAAAAATATTTTTAATTTAATTAAACAGGAGGAAAATCCCTGTCTATAAATCTAAAAACTTTTTTTCATAATTAATGATTTTGTAAATATAATTTAACAGTAAAAAGAATATATATCAGATATATTTTTTTTTTAGTTATCCGAAAAGTGAATACTAAAAAATCGAACAAAGTAGGGGCGTGCCGCAGGGAGATGCTCAAAATGAGTGAACTCTAATCATCTAATCATCCATTAAATTTATCTTTCGCTAACTTCGCTAACATATATTTTATTTACAAGGGATTTTAAAATAAAAAATATATTACAATTTACAACAAGTACGGAATAAATTCGCTAGTAAGTTGGTTATTATGCTATTTTAAATGGCGTCACACAATATAAATTAATATTTTTTAATAGAAATAGCATAATTTTTAATATAAATTTAAGGTTTGAATTAGCCCAGTTGGATATAAAACGTATTCATAGCCGACAATAAAATTCATTTTAAATTTTAATATAACAATATATTTGCTTATAGTTAATAGAGAATATGATAATAACCCAATATACAGTATATTAAAAAATAAAATAACTATTAAACAGTACTGTAATAAAGAAGATTTTTGGTTTAAATATTAGGTATTTTATTATTAACACACAAAATGGCCTCGTAACTTTGCTAATAAAGTCATGTTCTTAATCTTAATATGCTTTTTTTAAGTACAGAATAGTTAAAGCCACACATCTAATTGGATGTGAAATATAATACAATGGTATTTATAAATCATATAACCTCGTTTTCAATTAAAGGAACGAAACAGTCAAAACTCTGTTTGTCATCTTGTCATTAGATAAAATTTCAAAAGAAAATTTGGCCAAGTTAAAGAAAGTGCGAAAACGTCAAGAAGATCACTTCAGGAAATAACAGCCTCAGATATTTGGGCCTGATATCGCTTCAAATCTTTTTAAATAAATGATTTAATTTGTATATATTCGCATCAATAAATTCATTATTGTAACATTAAAATTTTTAACTCATTGTTTATTATTATAAAAAAAATTCCTTAATTATTATAACTTGATATAGTTTTGATTACAGCGCAAAGGATTTAGCAAAATTCCTACCAGAGTTTAGGAGTTATGCGCTTGCACGTGATAGCGTTAATGTTAACTCCAGCCAGTTTGCACGTTAATACCACTGTACAGTACATTAAGAAACCCCCATTTTCATATTCTATTAAAGACGACAGGATCCTATTTGGCTGCATAAAATTCATCGATTTGTATATATGATAGAAAACAATTATATATCACCTGTCAGATAACGTGATACTAATAATGCGTGCTACGCCTATATCGAAACGGAAAATTTTAATCTTGGTGTGGGAAAGATTTGTTAATTAATATGATATAAATAGTAAACATTTTATAATAGTGTTTAAATAATATTTAAGATATTTAGAACGTCTAAGCTATCATATCCGAACGCCATACTGAAGAAATACTATACAAATGTATCTGGAATGGATTCGTGATTCTCGCGATTACGCGTTTTAAAACAAAGAATTATTTTGCAGTTTCTCGCGATTGTCACTATTAAGTGCTATCAAATTTTTATTGTTCTTCTGTCGAGCCTGACACCAGTGATAATACAATATTTGTTGAGGCCGAATCATCTTATTAGAATTTAGAATTGAGCGAAATTTTTTTTTCATAAGTTTAACAAATTAAAAAAATTGTTTACATTATAATATTCTTTGTACCTGCTGTATATAATAAAAATTTCTTCTTTTTTTTTAAAAAAAAAAAATAATAATTGCAACATTTTTAAAAAAGAGAGTTCAAGGTTTAAAAAGTACAGATTTTTCAAAAGCTTTTATTACATTAAGGAAAAAAAAAGGAAAAAATTAAATGCAAAAAAATTATTATTTTTTTTTCTCTGATTATATACTTTTTGACTTTAGCAATTTCCTTTAAATTTTATTCAAATGTTATGTGATATAAACTTACTTTAGAAAATATAGCATTCAAAACTTGATATAAGTTACATAAATATAGTTATTGGCAGAATTCATGTTAAAATCACATTATTAAGTTTAAAAATTGGATTACCAAAACCAATCAACCTTTGATTCAATTAAAACATTATTTTAAACAATTTTTGTATAAACAACAACTTTATTATAAAAGAAATAATATTATAAGTTCATATATTTTTGCTGTTTTATATATTAATCGCTAAAGTTATTTTTAAAATTATTGCTAAAAGATTCATTCAAATCTTTATTTGATTGAAATGACGTACGAATGTTATCAGCATTCTGCATATAAATAGCAGGTGGTACTGATGAGGAAGAATAAGAATGGCTGTCACTTCTGAAATTTTGATCAGTCGGTTTCCGGTATGGATTCATTCTATTTACAACACGATTTTTCAAGGTTGAAGAATAATTACATTTAGTTCTATGTTGGTTCTGATCGTTTTGTATTCTGACAACAATTTCCAGTTCAATTTTAAAGATTTGATTCTGAGAAGAATCAAGTGTCTTTGAAATCTTTGGATTGGAAAATTCCGTATTAGTTTTATATAGTGGTGGTGCAGGTGTTACGAAGTCAATATGTTCACGTTGTGAGTTATAATATTGTGTAGTAGGAGTGGAAGTGGATTGCTGCCCATCATTATTTTGAACGTAATCGCTAGTGGAGTTCAACTCGTTTTCATAATAAGTTTGCTTCAAAGGTTCATCAAAATATTCATATTCGTGTTCATTAGGGTAAGACATTTGTGATGATAATTTGTTTATTAAAATATAAGAAAATTTTACTTTTTGATTAATGAGATATTTTATTTCATAAAATTAGTTTTTTTTTTCTTTGATAGAGGACGCGTGAGTTGCTTTATATAAGTTTTTTTTACATAGTCATTTACCAGCACATGTGAGTGATGTGACTTAATTAGACATTAGAATAAGGTTTTTCTGAACAATATTATTTTTATACATAAATAATTTTTTCTTATTCTCTTTGAAATAGCATATAAAATCTATTCTAAATTTGCCGGATCCGAAAGATTCCTTGTAAAACCGGAAAGATTTTTTAGATCCAGAATTTTTTTTGGATATGACATATTAGATTTCCGGGAAATTTTATTAGTACCGGAATATATCACTTTTTTTTTAAGCAAATCCGGAATTTTTAATTATTCCGGATTATTCCGGTATTTTCAGCTTTGAAATAATTTAGAATAGATAAGTGTGACTTTTTAATTAGAACCGAAATTTTTCTATCTTTAGTAAACTAGATTTCATCTCAATTTACCTGACCTATGAATTATCCAAGGAAAAAGCTCTTATCAAATTCTTTTTTTTTCACCTGGATTTTGATAACACCTTTTTTTCCCCTTGTCTAAGCATTGATAAGATTTTTAGCCTTGATTATCCCAATGCATCAAAGCTTTTTGATCTCCGGCGTACTAAGATTATTTTTAAGATAAGAGACGCGGTCATATATTAAGATTATACTATTTTGGAAAAATTAATTAAACACAGCATTTTGACCAGTTGCCATATAAATATTATTTATCGTTAGATTCTTCTAATCATTTGAATTTGTGGAGAAAATTACATAATACATAATAAACTGTCAAATCTTGATAATCTAAAAATGATCGGACCGTAATGTTTTTACCCCGTCTTATCATTTACTTAATTAATCAAATACTGATAATGTAACTTATTTTACCGAATGTTTCCGTTACAAAATAAGATAATTATGTTTACACATTTAGAAGATTAAACTGAAAATAACAACAAATACAATCTTACCAAAAAAAATCATACTACTTTCACAATAAGACAAATAATACATCAATGAGTTACATGATATGTAAAAAAAAAGGAAAGATCCGATTCTCTTCGGGAATCAAAGTTTGCTCTAAAGATTTTAATAAGCTCGAACATCTAAACTGTCACATCCAAATGTACATTGAAAAAAAGATAATATAAATGTCACTGGAATTCCAACTTTGAGAAAGACTCGTTTGTATCATTATCGATTGATGCCCATGTCGGTTGTGTACCTGCCAATTGAGTAAATAAAATGTTATTATCGTGAAAAATTAGGATGAATGTTCTCCCATATTGTAGATGCAAAGTGCTGAGACAAATACAGAAGTAAAATTTTTTTTTGAGCAATAACTCTTTAAAACTTCTCTTACTTCTATATTAAACCAAGGTTTCCCGAGATCCATAAAAAAAATTTACATCTATGTAATAATTTCATTTTTACTTACTCTTATCTTTTCTTTTAAATAATACTTTGTTCGTATTCATAGTATTTTTTTCATCTTTTGTTTGTACCATCTAATAATTGCTTTATTGAATCTATAGGTAACTTTGATTAAATAAATAATTATCCAAATGGAATTTAAATAATTTTAAAGTTCAGTGTTTTTCTTATTAGTAATATGCTGTTCACCTGTTCATGTGTTCATAGTGAAATTACCCAAAAGTTGAAAGAAAATCTTTAAAAACCCTCCACCAAATCTTATTTTTGGAAAAAAAAAACGCACCAAATATTTTTTTTTTTTTTTAAAAAAAAAAAAACTAAAAAAAAAAATAGACATTAGACATTGGAATTATCACGAAGAAAAAAAAAAACATTTCAAATTTAATATGTAATTGAATTTAATATAATATTTTAATATTAAAATATTTATTTCAGATTCGATTTCTCATTTTTGCAAGCACTTGTATGTAACTTTTAAGCTTTAGTAATTTCTTTTTGAATATGCATACTTATTAAATATTTTTCCTCTCGCAAATTTTACAATATTTAAAAGATTGAAATGGTGAAATCATTGTAACAACCGGTTTCATTACATTAAATCTTTATATCCTATAAATAAGGATAAAAAGGTTCAAGTTATACTGATTAGTTATATTACAACTATCATATAAACATATCATTTTCATACTAATTTCTTTATCACACAGGAAAAATTTAGATTTCAGAATTCATATTAAAATCGCGTTATAAGTTAAAAAAAACACTATTAACTTGCTGTTATAATTTAAATATGAAAATATGTATTATATATTATCAGTTTATCATATATTACTCAATAGTTTACAGATTTTATCCAAGGTCAAATAGCCTCTTTCGTGATGATACCTATTCGTTATTATTTTCGCAATGAACATATTGATTTCTTTTTTGGAATAGAAACTTCCATACTGATTATTTGTAGAAGTAGTTGAAGTGGATGGATGTTGTCCATTATTATTTTGGACAGTAACATTTGTGTATGGAATGATAAAAAGAATTCAGAATAGATTCGTAAAGACTTGAACGTATTGAATGTGTTCTTATTTTAAGAGAAATTATATAATTTTCTTAATGGTTAGCAAGTTTATTATTATAATCACGATGTTAAATAATATGAAATTAAAAAATGGAAATGTTCTTCAGACAAAGACTGATATCAGAAAAAATGGCTGAATAAAAATACTTATTTGTCGAAATGAGATATCTTTTTAGATGATATAACAAATTATTGTTCGAAAGCAAGTGAATATATAAACATTTGTGTCAAAATCAAGTAATGTCCTGACCTATTTATCTCTATCGTTATTTAGATAAAAAGCTTAACATACGTAAATTTTTGAACCGCCTACCTCATAAGCCAACATATTTTACGTTCAGCTTTCTCGAAAAAAAAAAAAATTATTTTTATGTGCAACACTACACAGAAGAACTTAACTAATATACGATATTTTTTGGAAAACCAAGTTGTTCACACCAAATATGCTAATCGATTTTTTCTGTACCAAATCAATCAGTCTTAGCTTGAAGTTGCGGAACGTTTGCTAGTTCCTTGATGCTGACAGATTATTTTTTTATTACTAATTATTTTGGCTAACCAACGGAGTATTTCCAACCAGTAGGAAACCTCTAGCGAATATCGATGAAGGGTATACTGTTTCTGGTATTGACCAGTGACTTTGATTCATTTTAGTGTACACTCGTCATATAAGTTAATAATTAACAATGTATTACATATGAGTGCTATGACATTGTTCTCTAACTAGCCTCACTGGCGACAGAATAGTCGATACCCCTGGCACCTAGTATAGAAGAGATACCAGCAAGGTGTAGACTGAAGATAGATAGCTAGGTCTACAGATCCTTCGGAGTGAGAGTTGATACCTGCTAGCGGGGGATATCTTGTTCTTTAAAAATCGAAATAATGAAAGAATTCGGTGTCCAATCTTGAACGAAGAATTTAAGATAAAATGGATATTTTTTATAATAAGTATCTGAAATTGACTCTATATTATTTCTTTTTTTGAATAAATAAGCGAATAAGAAATTTTACTAAATCGTAATATTTTTTATGAACGAATTCAAATGTTTTTACAATAATACTTTTAATTAAAAAAAACATAATAAATAGAAATTTTTTCTGTAATTAAATATATATGCATAGAGATTTTTGATAAGACTAAAAATCATAAATTTATGTTATTCATACAATTAATTTCTACAAAGTTGTTCATTAAGTTTCTATCGAATGTAAAAAAAATAAGGTAAAGAAAAAAACGTACATACAGTATACTCAATATACTCAATATATAATAAAATTTTATGACTAACAATGATAAGATCTTTAAAAGTAGTTCATCTCCTAAAAGAAATGTTTGCAATTAATAATTAATCGATATAAATGATGTTAATTCAAACAATTATATGTTTCAGATTACCTGTAAGGCATTCCGTTTTTCAGGATCGATAGAATTCCATAATGATGTTTTGGTATTTTCTGGAAGGTTACTTAGCATAATTTTTACTGCAGAAACCATTCTTGTGGAAACTGCTTCGGGTAATATCGCCGAAGCAAGTACATCTATGAAGATTAAGATGATATTATGAAAATTTTCATTATTATTGCCCAAAATTGCGGGATGTTGACTAGAAAAAGAAAAAATAAAAATTTAGAAATAATAAAATTAATAGACACGTTATTATACAAATAATAAACTTACGATTCTAATAAATCTAACAAATAAGTATAAGTCAATGCTGCCTCCACTTCATCATAACGTATGGGTAAACTGTTAAGCCATATAGGAATTACTGCATTAACATCAAATTTACTATTATTGAATTTCAGAATTTTGGTAATTGCAGATATTGCATTTTCTGTCGCATAAACGTTTTCTTCTTTCCGTGAATCCTCGGAGTTTATGACTTGGAATAAAGGTGTTAATGCAGCTGTTTTTTTTAAATAAATAATTATTTAGTGCCTTTTTTTCAGACAAAATAATGATTAAATATTTGAACTACCTGCGACAGCGTCTGCATAATTTTCACCACCGAATTGTGCACATACACCAATGCCATAAGCAGCAGCTTGCCTAACATCGGAAGCTGAACATTTATTAAATAGTTAGACAACATTCTTACTCAATATTTGCGGAAAAGAGGTTTGTTTATATAAATGGATAAAAAATATACCTATATCTAACAAAGATGCGATCATTTTTTCCAAAAAATGAGTATGATAATTCCATGATGCTGGACCAGTAAATTCAACAATATCATCTAAAACACATAAAGCCCATTGACGAGCGGCTGGATTGGCATCAGCCAAAAATAAAGTCACAATTGGCAGCAACTTATCAAATGACGGAAGATAAGATGTTCCGTGAGTCTTCAATACAACGTGCAAAGTTTTTGAGAGTTCACCAAGAACACTTTCTTCAGTTTCTTCTTCTTCATTTATAATCTCTTCATCTTCAGCATCATAATCACCACTTTGCCTAGCTTGTTCGCGTTGCTTTAGTCTCTGATAGAATTCTTGCAATTGAGATTCAGTAGCTGTTGTAAACTCTTCTAACAAAGAAGCGTTAAGACTATTATCACCAACTATTTCCAAAGACTCATAGAAAGTGACATAAATATGCCACAAAAAGCCCGGATCAGCTTCACCATTCATAACTTCAATTATTTTTTCTGCGATCGAATGCCACATATTTAATATAGTATCCTGATTAGCATCAGGTGATTTCTTGATAGCGTTAATAAGGTGCGGAATAGTCGCGGCTGCTGCATTTCGTACACCTTCGTGAAAATAAAACTTCAATAAAGGTAAAACAATTTTCATAACCTCGTCAACGTATGGCCGAAATGCAGGACCGAGTTCTCGTGCGTAGCAAATAAGCATTTCCACTGCTGTACACTTTTCTTCTAATACAGTAGTTTTAATACCGATTTGCTAATGCAAGATATAAAAATAAATAATTCGGTAAACATGTGCGGATGTATATATATATATATTTTGATACAAAAATCTCTTATCTATTATTACCTGTCCTTCTACTCCAATAAAATCCCAACCGTCTTCGGCTGAATATTTGGATTCGATATCATCATCAGCTATTTTTTTTTTTTTTTTTTTAACATAATTTAGTTTTTATCGATTAATCTTCTATAAGAATTAAAAAAATATAAATTCATATTTACGATCTATAACAGCAAAGTCTGGTTTCAATTGTGCAGATTGTAGCAAGGGAGGCATAACTATTGACAAATAAGGTACAAAGCCCTCGCCAAGTACTTTACACACTCTAGCCCAAGAAGCGATAAGATATGATATTTGAGGGTCGTCAGATTCAGTAACCGATTCTAATTAAATTTGAACAATTAATTATCGTAAATTATCGTAATGCCAAAATTTTTATAAATATTTCTTTCGAAAAACAATGAAATCTAAACATACGTTGGGTCTGGGCCAATAATGCAATAAATTCTTCAGAATTTGGAGTGAAAATTTCTTTGCCAACTGCCAAAGCTGAATCCCGTAAAAAATTCGACCATGAATAAACTTCGTTATCGTTTCTTTCAATCGAACTAACAAGCAAATGATTGAAATTTACCAATGAGACTAGCACATTCCATAGCTTTACCACGTAACAATCGATATTCTTTTAGAGTTGCATTTCTTAGTACATTTATCAACAAAGGCATAATGGAGCTATAATACTGTTGAATTTAAAGAATATTAAATTATGAAATACAAAAAATTAATTTAAAATAATCCATTACTTTAACGAATCTTTCTTCAGCGCTGTCAGCAACGGTAGCTATAGATGTAATAGCCTGCTCTTGTACGTAAGTTCTTCCTGAATTGAGAAGGACCAAAAGTCTTTCAAAAATAGTATCCAAATATGGCTCAAGAATTGATTTATCAGCAGCCTCACAGAAATTTACTAAAGCGGCAGCAGCGTGAGCTTGTACTCTTTAATTATAAATGTTGTTATAATAAGATGAAATATTCATAATTTAAATTTTAAGAAAAATAAAAGTACCTTGGTTCAGGAGCATCCATAACAGGAATTAAGTTAGTAAGGACCATTTGATGAAACTTCCTCTGAAGAGTATCTTGAAAGTCTGTTGACATTTGACCAATAGCATTACATGCGGCGTATCTTACACGAGGATGTGGATCTCTAAGATACGGCAATATCAATCTAAAAGAAAAAATAATGAATTAAATCCATTTTAAAACTAAAATAATTAACATTTATAAACACCTACTCTAATATTTTTCCTAACTCAGCTTCCATAATCTTAACACATCCTTCGCCGATCGCGGAAATTGCCATAAGAGCAGCGTGTCGCTGTTCCCATCTTTCAGAACCCAACATTGAAGGAATATAATTGAAAGTAATTGGAAGAATAGCCTTTCCACCTACGTGCAAATATGTATTAAGTAATGTCTGAAATTGAAATTTTTAATAAATTAGAAAAATTATAAAAAATAATGGGTTACCAAGATTACGTGCCAATCTGTCCATCGCATGTTCACCGATAACATAATTTTCATCATTATCATCATCTTCAAGCTAGAACAATATGTAATGCGAGATAATATTTAGAAGAAGTTGTTATGATTTGGATTACGCAATTCACCAAAATAAAATTCTTACATCATCCGTTGTATACCAATCCTCAGAGTCATCTAATTCTGTCATCATCTCCAAGGAAATGGGAATGATTTGCGCGCAAAAGTCTTGAGTCTTGCGCATCATGGATGGAGAGGCCTCGGATAATGTGAGTAGGAGTTCAAGAGCTGTTTGACGAGTACCGTCTTCAAAAGTTTTGTCTTTCACAATATTGATAGTAAAAGGCATGACGTTAGGGAGTACTTGCTTAAATATCCTTGGTAAATTTCCCGCGAGTTCTATGAACACCATAATGCCATCTGCTAAGCCATCTTCATCGCGTTGCGCTATAAGTGGAGAAAGCACCTTTGATGCATTCAAATTATAAAATCACTTCGTCAAGCTCTAAGTATAACTATCGGTCTTTTGTTCATTAATGCACATATGTTTCTATATATAAGTTCTGCGTAATCACTATGTGGAATAATTGTACCTCTAACATCTGTGGCATCAATTCGGCAAAAGAGCTTCTGTTTTGATGATCTGTTTCTAACATGAAAGCGACTGCAGCTTTCAAAGAGGCCATACGTATCTAAACAGAAAATCATATAATTCTCTCAGTTCATATAATTGTTATGTATGCGTTATTTTTTATTTTTAGTTAAAGAGTTAGGATAAGGATAAAAATAGATGATAAGCTATAAGTAAGGAAGGCACAATATGTTGCAATCGCAACAAAATAAACATATACTTTATACATACAGCCGCGTTATTAGCATCTTGTAAATTGACTAAAAATACTTGTTTAACTTCATTTATTGGTAAGTCGGTGAGAAGATTAGGAACCGCAGAAAATATACGTAAAGCAGCTTCGCGATGTTCTGCATTAGGTGATTCGCTTGCTTCAATAAGTGCTGGAAGAAGTTCATTCCACTTTTCTATATGATAAGTAAGCAAAACATGTATAAGCATATAAACATTTTATCTTAAATAGAATTGAAGTTTAATTAATACTTACGTCCTTTTAGGAATGAATTTTTAGCTACCTCAGAGACAGCGTCGCAGACTTTGTGACGTACTGTATTCTCCCGTTCTATCGATAAAGACATTAATAATTCAGTTTTGATAGCTTGCCTACTTTGTTCTTGAAGACGGTCCCAAATAGTTATATCATCAAGTTTTGAGGCTTGATTTGGTGCCTGTTTGAATGCGATTCTCCGTAATAGAACGAATGAAAAGGAACGACCCTATAAAAAACGCGTAAATAAGATAAAACACGTCCTAGTCATTTTATATCCAAGAACCATTAAAACTATTAAACAGCTTTCTCACGTGAGTTTCTTCATGTGCTCTTCCAAGCTGTGCTAATGAAAGTAGTAGTAATTCTGGCTGCTGAGTGATCCACTGTTCGTTCAATTGTCTTTCTGCACTTGAACGAAGATCGTTATTATTAGAGACCAAGCTCGATAAAACTTGATTCAGTTGAGAAACAACATCGGATGGAACTAAAGAAGAAGCAGTGGTTGACATATCTAAAACGTAAACCCCATTTGATTAACCAACGTTTGCGAAAAAAGAATTTTGTTTTAAATCACGTCATTTCAAATAGATCAATATTTTTTTCATTAAATTAAAAAAAAGTATAATCGCGTAAACATACCCGAAGCAAGCCGTTGCAATTTATTATGCAATTTATTATGAATTCAGATAAGTGATCTATAAACTTGGGCAAACGAACAATTCTATATTTTGAGATTAAAAAGGAGCCACCGACCAAATTTAAAAAAAAAAATTTTGCGTTACGCCATCCTACAATATAATCACTTGGTAACACAGTAACACAGACAATCTAATTTCTTCATAACGATAACAATAAACTAAATTTATTATTAATAAAAAGTCATTATACACTTCTTACTTCTTAGGGTTAATATACTTTCACATGATATATCAAGTACTGGCTTTAACAAGATAACATTAAATATCATCATCTTAAATTACTTTACATGATCAGGAATTACCTATTCTAAACTATTTCATTCCTAATAACGAAATGGAGATTGATTCCAACGATTCTATTATAATCAAAATTTAATATATATTTATTTTATCTAACTATTATTATTCATCTTTATCATTTAGCGTGAGATCTTCTAACAGCTCTTCTATTCCTACTTCAGGAAAACTTTCCTCCTCTTCGGCTGCACTTTCTTCAGCTGCAGTATCCACATCCATTGCATTACTAGATTTATAAAGATTAATGTTCTGTCTTAATTCTGAATCTTCTTCCAAATCCTGTAAAAACAACTCATAATCTTCTTCCATTTTATCAGCATCTTGTTTTCTAGGAGTCATTTCCTCCTTTTCTTTAGATAATGATTTTAACTTCCATTTACGAGACTTATTTTTCCTGCGTCTTTGTGGATAAGATTTTTTGATAAGTATAACATCAGGAAGAGAATTTCTATTGAGAGTATCAAAAGTATAGTCGTTAAAATTGGAAGATGTAAGATCATATCCTAAAGCCGTATCTCCAGGATTCAGAATTGCACCAAGATGAGAACGTGCAAAAAATGTGGTATCATTCTTTCCAAAATCTGAAGATCGTGCAACTTGAATGTCGGCAAGAACATACTAAATGGAAAATGAAAAAATATTATATATTTATGCCACAGAAACTATTTAATTATATTGAATTTACATATTTAATTACCTTTCCACGTTTTGGGCCCAATGGTTCAACATCTAAGACATAATATTCTACCAAATTCTTTATTGTTGACAATGAAGTGAATGGATTCCTCCAATATGTTGAAGTTGTAATTTCTGAAACTAAACAAAGAAAACAAATATTTGTTATTAATAATAAAGTAATTAACAATTGGATTTGTTGAAGTAGAATAGTTAATTACCTGCTAAAGTATTTGGATCCATTACGTGAATGGAATTACCGACACGATAACATATCACCAAAGGACTAACAAAATAATAATTTATTACATTTAGAATTTTATATTATGATTTATGAGGAATACAAACTCATCAGACCTTATGTTTCCTAATGAACGCGCAACTTTAAGTGGCAAACAAATTAGGTCATCTCTACATATAGGTACTATTTCAACAGAATAAGTAAACTTATAATTTGATGTATTGCTGTGAATATCTGTTGATATTAGTTGTTCGGACGTCTTTGTTCTTAAATAGATTAGTGCAAATTTTAGAAATTAATTATAATAATCGAGATCATAAAAAAAAGAAAGAAAAAAAAATGCCCAAAACACAATATACCTGACAGGAGCAACAGCATTTAAAAACTCCACCATTTTAACAGCATGAGATCTGTTGGAATAAAAAAAATCGAGACCATCCTTGACCTCTTTGATATTTATAGTCTCTTTGTGTGCATTATGCTTAAGAATAATTTGTTCCAAGAACAAAAAAGTTCTTTTGTGGTTGACTTTTTGTCTAACTTGTACCATTGATTGCCACGTATTTTTTGCCATTATACGTGCGCAATCACCACATTGTTGATAGTTCACAACAAATTCTACTTCAAAAATTTGTTGCAAAATTGTTGATACAAAAACCTAATAACATGAAATATATATTACAAAAATATTTATATGAAGAAAAATAGAAGTAAATGAGTAATATACAAACCTCTTTTTGGATTGTTAATTTAACTTTAATTCTTCTTGAATGAGGTTCAGTCCAAATAAAACCAGCGTCTATTAATCGTACTTTATTTAGTCCTTTTAATTTTTTAAGGCATAACGCCAACAATTCACGACTTTCTAGCCCCGCTAAAACCCAGATATTTGGTGGTTGCAAGTATCTTTCACAATTTCGACAATAATGTAAAGTAGCTTGTTTTGGAATGCCTTCAGTAATGTCAACCTCATTACGAATGCAATTGATACACTTATTTGAAGGGTTTGGAGTAATAGCTGTCCCACATTCACAGCAAAGACTGTAAAATTAATTATATAAATTTTAGTTAGTTTAAATAATTCTAGGAATGGATGAAAGAGAGTTTTTGATCTTATTTACATAAGTTGTTCAACTACGACGGGATTGTATTGCATTTTGTCAAGGAAGAAGAAAAAGAAAACCGATCCTTTTGACATTAATTAATAATCGACTGTGATTAATAATTTTTTTGATGTTGCACAAAAGTTATCTAATCTGATAATTAAAGTAATAATATAAAAGGAAAAATTTTTTTTATATAAACGGATAAACCCTTTAAAAATAATTATGGCGTCCACTTACAGTCTGTCAGAATTAACGTTAGTTAAAGCAACTCCAGAACAAGCCATCATGTAAATTTGTCATTTTTCCGTAAATTTGTTGTTATTCTTTAAACTGACTTCCTTGATATCTTTAGAACAAACAAGAATTCTTTTGGTGAATGGGGAACTCATTTGTCATTAGAACAATATCTTTCTCGAGAAACTTCACTTGCATCTCTTCCATTTACTTCTGAGAATTTTACAGTTTGGGTCTTAGTTCCTCGCTCAACACCTGAAACAACGACAAATATTCTTTCAGCATGTGAAACATTCTTACGTCCAGCACTCATTATATCTTCTTCCTTACAAAAACAAAATTGTTATAGTATAGCTTCAGTATTTACACCACAAGAACATAGGAAAAATGGATATGCATCTTACATGATGGAATTGTTGGGAAAGAAATTAAAAGAGAATTTCCAAGAAGTTGGGTTTAGTTTTTTATATAGTGACGTAGGTCCAGTGTTTTATAGTCGACATGGATGGAAAGTTTTTGAGCACAAAGAAATTCAATTTAATATTGAAAACGAAAACTTTGATAGTATTACATCCGAAGCCATTAATGTAACACAACTATCTTATTCGGATATCGAAGAAATTACTAAGTATGATTGTTCTTTAATTGAAAAAGAAATCGATTTTAACTCTACCAAATATAAAGTCGTTTCATTACCAACGTTCGAATGTTTTGAATGGACATTCGCGAGAAGCGAATTTTATGCAAAAGTTAAAGGCTTCAAAGAACCTAATATTTGGGGAGCTAAAGTAACAAATAAGGAAGATAAAGTTATTGGATTTGTTCTTTGGACTTATAACTTTAGCGATAACACTCTCCAAATATTAAGGATTCGATCTCCAGATACAAATACAACTAAATTATTAATCCGACAGGCAAAATTGTATGCTAGTTATTATAATTTCAAAAAAATTACAGTTTGGAACCCTGATTTAAAATTATTCACAGAAACTGTTTTTATTGAGGGAGGTGAATTAATTGAAAGAACAAAATCTCTCCCTTCGTTAGCTTGGTATAATAATAAAAGTTCTAGTTCTAGTAAAGATGATGTGGAATGGATTTTAAATGAGATGTATGCCTGGTGTTAACATCTGAAATGTATCTCTAATAAAATTTTTATATTTACAGATTTAGGAGTTTTAAACATGCATTTAATCTGTGTGCCATAATCAGTACATTTTTAATATATCCTAAGAATTGTAACATGATAGATTTCATATATAGAGAAGTTAATTCTCCTATTGACAAATGTGACTACACTACAGTCGGAGAGTTATTATGGAGTCCTCAAGCAGGGACTAGGGGAGGATATTTTTTATTAAATATTTTGCTAGACACATAGAAAATCATAAAGTCACGTGATCAACGGTTAAGGATTTAAGGCTATCAGTATGATATCCAAAAAAAAACAACAATGAATTCCCTAAGAATAATAATCAATTCAAAATCATTATCTCGTAAAATCCAATTTCCCTCATCTACAACTTGTACTCAAGTTTTTCTTCGTCTTCGACAAAAATCAACTTCGACTACGTCTACAAACACTTCATTTTCACAATCACGTATTGACGAAAATATAACAGTTTGGAATGTATATGGGCCTCCGTTAGTTAATTGTTTTTTAATCGGTTCGATAACTTATATCAGTTTACAAGTTATGTGGTATAAATTAGCTTTTATCGAACTCCGAGAAGAGATGGAAAATAAAGTAAATGAGTTAGAAAATAAAATAAATTATTTAAGAAAAAATAATTTAGAAGTTGATTAATAATAATTGTTGTAGTAAAAATTAATATTTTTAGGTTGGTTTTTTTCCCTATTCATTTCTTTAATCAATAACAACTAGATCTAATGTTTATTTGTTATGAACCTTTCCAAGCTCGAGACTCTGGTGCTAAATATTTTATATTCAAATTTTTAAAAATATCATTTTCACTATTAACTATTAACGGTTCTCCAACCATACCACTATTTGGATCTATTGGTGCTAATATAGTTTCACTTAATCGAAAACCATTTTCAAGTGATTTTCTTTGTAATTTTTTATAAAATACTTCATCTCCTGTTTTTGCTAAAACTGTAAGCCAATAATTCTTATACGGTACAGCTCTGAAATTAAGAGAGAACAATATTTATATATTATATAAATTAAAATTTTTTTTCTTTATATTAATTCTTACCTTAATTCAATTTTACGACGTAAATATGGTTTTGCTTTTTTATTTGTTTGAGGAATTCGACAAATCGTCTAAGGAAATATATAATAATTCATCGCTTTTTTTAACCTCCAAAAAAAAAAGAATATAGTTTTATTTTAAAGATCCTTACAAGGTATTTAGAAGATCCTTTTGGAAAATATTCAGTACAGAATCCTTGGATCTTTAAATCATTAATAAACTTCTCCAAAAAATCATTAATACTTTCAGTGGTATCTTCTTTGAATTCAGGATGTGAAATTACAATATTCAATGATTCAGAATATTTTGCTCCGCGTCGACTAATCGTAAAATATACATTGAAATTATTTATAGAAAAAGACCAGATATAGTAAACACTTTTGTTATAATTAAACATACAAACTTCCGCATGCTTCAATAAGATATCGATTATCCCGATTATCCAATTGTTTCATAATATATTCCTACAAAAAAAAAAAAATTTAGGATCATTTTTCTTTCTAAGTTAAAAGTCGTCTACACATATATTACCAGCAATAAGTTCATCTCCCATCTTGGAATTGTCTCACCTAATTCATTTATATGCTTGATAATATATTTTTGATCGGGTTGTAAGTTTGAACAATTGCTAATTTCTTCCAAAGTCTTGTAACCTTTGCTCAAATATTTTAACGCTCTGATCCTTCTTATAATATAAAATTATTAATATGATATTATAGATTTTGACATAAAAATTTTAATCGATTACTTTTTTTAAGTTGTTTATACCCAATTCGCGGTACTTTGTTCAACTCATTAAATAGTTGTCTTTCAGCACTATCAGGATATCCTGTTACATGAGAGCATGTACCCTGAATGAAATGAATCATTTAATTAAATAGTTGAAACGCGTAAAACAAAATATATTGTCTATATTTTCTACTCACCGTTTTCAATATTTCATCGATTTTCATTTCAATACTTGGTCCAATAAATTTAAGTTCACGAGCTTCTTTTCCTGATTCTATTTTCTTTGGGTATGCTTCAATAGACTTTATTGCAGCATAATATGCACGTTCCCTAAAATTATCACCAGCCGCTCTTTCTTGCTTAGCAAGTTCTGAAATAAAGATTATTGGTTATTCCTTTTTGTAAATCGTATTTATTATAAGAAAATATTGTGTGTTGATATGATCACCTCTTAATACGTCAGTGATACTTTTATTTAAATCATTCGGTCCAGATTTAGCGGTTATATTTTTATCGTCCTTGTTTTGAGATACCTTAGTCTCGAATTTTATTTCATTATTAACTGGACCATTTTTATTATCAATAGTAGTACCAGTAATAGATGACGGCGCATAATCTTCATTTTTTCTTATTTTGGAATTTGGGAACAAATAAGAAATTTCCCTTCCTGGAAAATATACATTGAAACGCGTAGCCTGTTGTATTAATGTTCCTACTGTTAATATTGAATTATTCAAATAATAATGTTGATAATGTACGTGTGTTTTTTGTCTCGTTAATGGTCGAATTGTTGATAACATTTTCGCCGTAATAATACAAGTTTATTTTTATTTTTTTCACAGAGAAATTTCCTACAAAAGTTTGCGAACGACTGAACGAACGCTAAACGCGTTTTGTTAAAAATAGTAATAATTTCACGTGGCTAAGATTTCAATCCACGTGTCAGTGTATATCTTTATACATTTTTAAAATTAATAATATTTTATGAATTATATTTTTTGAGTATATTTTTTTTCTTTTTATAAACTAACTCTAAAGCCAGTTTATTAAAAGTACAAAAAAAACTATATAAAAATTACAGACAAATAAATAAATAAGAATAAAAAAAAATTATGAAAAATTAAAAAATAATTACTTTGATTTCATTCATTGGTACAAAATTTAATCTTACTAATTTTTTTATAAATCCAATGAAAGAAAAAAAGAACAAATTTAAATGATTTTTGTTCAAATAATGAAAATATTATTGATGATTGGGGAATTTATAAAACATGAGAAAAAAAAACGAAAAATTTATAATAAAAAGGGGAAAAGTCTATGATACAAACAAAAAATTTTTTTGAAGGAAAATTAAAAACAAGAGGAAGTAATATAAGAATTAAAAAAAAAAAAGAAAAAAAAAGTACAAGAAAAAAAGCACTGCTTAAAAGGTTACAAAAAAGTCCTGCTTAAAAGTATAATAAAGAAAAAAAATATTAAAGTTTTTGCGGTATATATTACAAAGGAAAAAAAAATGCTTCCTCTGTTGATTCCCTTCGTTTTGATCATTTAAAACCCTGATAAATATGTATATATAAAAAGTTATATATTTAAAAAATATATAGTATTTATAAGAAAAATTCTCCCGGCTACCTTGTATCCAAGCTTTTGTACAAATATATTTAAAAACTATTTTAAGTGAATAAAAATATATCGCAAAGAGAGAAATCTCGCCTTTGCGATTGAAAAAAAAGTTCCTTTACAATTTTTGTATGAAAAACATAAAATTAGTGTATAAAACAGGTATATATAGTTTTGTTCGAATCGCAAAAGGACGACACCTGCGCCCCAATTAGTTGTAATTTTTGTAGTAATACCCCCACTTCTTCTTCTTTTTCTTTTTTTCAGTATCTTGAAAGTGAAAGTTATCTTTAGGAGTTACGTTAGTAACGCTTTGATTATTGTTCTTCAAAACTGATCGTGGACTTTTCCCGCTAACAGTTGTATGATCCTTATCTTGTCTTAAATCTTGTAGCGTCAGACTCCTTGTCCTAAACGGTTTTTCTTCAACATTAACAGCTGAAAAACTCTGTCTGCGATAACAATTTGAGGGTCTATCAGGATAATAAGAATAATTATCTTCGACATTCGCAAAAGTTACATGATTGTGTTGCTGGTTCGCCTGTTTATTTGCAGATCCGTCATTTGAAGTATTCGCATCTTTTGAGTTTCCATTTTCATTTTGGGAATTGTTTGACATCTCCTTATTCATACTATTTTGATTCTTATCATTGATGATTTTTTGATCAAAAAAAGGAGGATGGGATGCTTTAGCTACGGACGGAGAGGTCACCGTCTGTTCATCATTAGCTTTTGAAGACTCGTAAATTTGTTTTTTTAGATCAACCTTTTCTTGAGAATTTGAACGTCTATGACCACAAGTTGGAGTTGTAGAGACTGAACGTGGAGGATAATTCTCTTCTTGATTATTTTGTCGAATTTTTTGAACATTGTTTGTTCCATTTCTGTTATATCCTGAATTTTGTTGTAAATTATTTTGCGGTTGACAATTCACGTAATTTCGAGAAGGCAACTGTCCAAGTGGTGCTGGACGATTTTTCCCACCATAATTATTGTCCTTAGGTCTGCCACCATTAGCAAAGGTATGTGACCTATCTCGCTTATATAACCAATTATTGGTAGAAGAATAAGGACTATTTGGTGAATTATTTTGTATACCAGGACTAACCGGTGAATCATGTCCGTTAGTGAATGTATGTGATCGATCCCAATCTTTATATGACTTGCTACCTTGACGAGATGGTGTAGAAGGAGAAGAAGGTAATGGGGGATGTCTGGAGATGTTACCGAATTGGCTAAATGTGCTAGCACGTTCACGACCTCGGAAATTTTCACGACTGAATCTAGCATCTTGGGGTGAATATCGAGAATCTTTAAGAGAGAAACGGGCGTCTTGAGGGGAATATTTAACATTTTGAGTCAACATCGGATTATTAATTTCTTCTCGAGGAGTCGTGGGTTGACTAGATGAGTAAGGTAAATTATCTTTAAATGAATAACAACGAGAGCTGTTATTACCCTTTTTATCTTGCATATGTGGCATGATTCTCTTCGACGATTGAGGAACGATGTTATGACGAGCTTGGTCTCGAAGATTGGGTACGCTTCGCTTGAGAAACCTTGTCGCTAAGGAGTTTGTGTTGCGGATATTGGGAATGCTTCGTCTTGGTGCTAAAGGTATATTTTCATTAACACCTGGATAATATGGTGAATCGAACTTATTATTCGGCGATGCTACCCCACGAGAAGTATTCATTGCCGAATTAGGCCTTGGTGGAATGGATATCGATAATGGAGAAGGAACAGATGGTCGCCTACTTTGTAAATCTCGCAATTCGCGAGTATTTAGAGACCGAGTACGCTGTTCCTCAACACAACGGTGATGCCAATTTCTCGTTGGAAAATTTTCTTCCAACCAAGGAACCTTTACATTCCCGTCCCACGCAGAAACCTCAGCCATTACAGCATTATCATCATTATGATTTATCCATTCATCTGAATGGTATCCGCCATCAAAATCTCGGAAAGCATTATCAGCATCATTCCAAAAGCATAATTCGTTTGCTGGAGTCGATGGAGATGGAGACATCGGGCGAGATGAAAAACAATCTTCGATCCCATCGGCATATACTAGTTCAGAATCGTACCCGTCATTACATGCTGCACTGTAATTTAATTAAAAAATTAAGTTAAATATCAAAAGAATGACTTTATTTTAAAATAAAAAAAAAGAAAAAAAATATTCATGTCCTCATTACGTACGACATTAACAAATTACGCGCATAATTATAATCTGGTTCCTGTTCAAAATCTAGACCTCGCGCGTATTGAAGATAATCCATGAATCCTCGAGGAACCCCTTCAAATAAATCTTCCAATGGTATGTTCGACTTCATTTTCAACATCTTGGCCCAGCCTTCTATCGCATTGCGAGCTGTTACGCCAGCCCATGGGAGTGTTCCACGAAGCATTTCTAAAATAACATATCCAAGAGACTCCAAATCGTCACGACGTGCATGTGCTAGTAATAAATAAGGTAATTTAGATGTTTAATTCCACACGAAACGTTAAAAAGATCATTGACACTTACGTAATCCATGATGAACTCCAATTGCGGCATAACGAGCAGTCCCTGTTTTGTACTTTGTTGGAGGTTGCTTTCTTGGTACATGTCTTTTCGTCCTTTTGTCAATGTAGAACGTAGATAAGCCTAATTTAATATTTGAGTAAAACTAGTTAATAATTAATTTAATTTAAATAATAATAATAATTAATTGATCTTAAACTTACCAAAATCAACAAGGCTTATCTTATGTGTTCTACCAAGAAGAGGACGATAGTCTTCTAATGGTTTAGGCGAATTTTCGGAATCCCATTTCTCAAGTTCCTTAATCGAGATTCCAAAATCTCGCTCGAGAAGAAAATTATCTGGCTTTACATCCCGGTATACAATTCCTTTTTTATGTACGTGCTCTAATATAGTCACCTAAGTATGTCGAAAACGTAATTGATTTTTTAGCACATATTCTAAATTTAATAATTTAGTTTTCATGATTTATATAATTATTAACTTACCATTTGAATGGCGATATCACTCACAAAGGAGACTGGTAACTTATCATATGCTTGACGTATCAATCTCATGTTTGGGCCAAGTAAATCCATGACGAGCGCGTTATATAATTTTTCTTGTCCAAACCAATGGACTTTCGGAATAAAATCTTTTAATTATTAAATATTAATAACGATTTTTAAGTTAAAAATGTGGTAAATAAAAAAAAAAAAAGGTTTTAACTTAAAAACTTACTTGGGCCTTCTAACATCTTTAAAAATTCGGCTTCCTGTGGTAATTGTGGATGCTCCTCGGTTATAAGCTCTCGTTTAATAGCGCATTGTTCTTTTGTTTTTACGTGAACGGCTAAAATCATAAAACAGAAAACAGAATATTAGTATCTTTACTTTTAATCGATTAATATAATAATAGAAGTAAAAAAAAAAAAACTAAAAAGTTGTATCATGATAAGCTGAACTCTTTAAGCTTATATATGTACATTTTTCGTTTTCTCGAACTCTTCAATTGCTTACATGAGCAATAGTAATGATAAATAGATATTTACCTCGAAAGACCTCGCCGAAGGATCCCTCGCCGATTTTTTCTTCGACTAACCAATGTCCACCAACGGTTACTTTACCCATAGTTCCTGATGTGAATAATGTAACGATTTGCGAGGGAAAACCGCAAAGAAGGCGGATATTGGTCTTTCAAATGAAAATCTTTGAGAGCTCGTGTGGTCTATCGAGCTTTCAGTCAAAGGGATGGCGAAAGAGAATAATGAATGAAATTCAAGACTAAGAAAAGATTGGGGTTTTCTTTGAAATGAGAAGTTAAATTAAATTTTAGACTACAATTTAGTAGTAATAAGAAGCAGAAAAGATGTGTGGAGTGAAAGAAGCTGCTCAAGCACACAGGAACTGTGCCTTTGTGTTTGAGATTCGGAAATTTAAGAAAACACAACACACAGCGTTAACGAGAAAGTTCCAAAAATATTGGGGTTTTTAAAAAAATTCTTATGGAACTTTGTGAACACATGTATGGGAAAAAATACAAACAAGATGGGCTGGGCTGAAGCCTATCGAATGTATCGAAATGTATGGATATGTTATTCAGTAACCAGGCTATATTAGGTAAAAATTTTTAGGTATAACTTCTAGGGATCAAAATTTATTATGAAAAAGGGGGCGTTCACGCGTTCTATACGCAGCAACACAGGTCTATTCATCGAAAATGGGGATCAAAATGTTTCACAAGAATTAAAAACAATTTTTTTCGTGTTACTTTTGAACTAATTGGAATTTTTACAATTTTATTTTATTTTTTTTTATGTATATTTTAAATTTTTAATTTAATATAATTGGACTCTCAGTTATAAGCATAAATTTAATAAATTTTATCAAGTGCAAATCATGCAATCTCAAATTGAGATGTTTCTCTTATTAATTACATCTTGGTTTTAAAAATCCAAGACATGGCAGTTTTTTTCTCTTAATTGGAAGAAAAAATTTCCGTTCTAAGAAAAATTTACCAACATGTTTATTATGTGATTTGTCGTTTACTTGTATTTGTGGTTTGTTGTAAATATTTTATTTTTTTTCAGTTTAGGAAAACAAAAAATCCTCATGGAAAAACAATGGAATAGTTCTAATAAATTTCCCAAACAATGAATAATAAAAAATTTTAATTTCAGGTTTATCACCCGGTTTCACTTTTTCGAAAATTTTTTCTGCAGTATCATGATATACCCCACTGTCGTGAAACCATGATTTTCATTTCTTGTTATTTTATAAGAATCTTTCCGTTTTGTCCTACCGTATATCATAAATTAATTGCATATTTTAAGAATACTTATAAAAAACATTTTCCGCGAAAAAAAGCAACAATAAGAAAATAATAAAGTCGTTAATTAAACAAGGATTTGATGTTTAATTATTTATAAATTTGTATCATCATTGCGTAACAATGTTTAATAAACAAACAACATAATTTAAATTCGGAGAAAAGAATAATTATAAAGTAAATAAACAAAAATAGTTTTTGTTCACAAATAATTTAATCAAAGATTTCTATTTTTATTTAATTTAAAAAAAAAATTGGCTAGTATGAAACAACAGATGTTCTAATATTTGGTCAGATTGAAATAACTTGGAATTACGTAGAAATCCGTTATTTCAATGCTAAATAAATCACGTGAACGATGAAATCATATTTACAACATCTCTTATCTTTTATATTATCAAATATTATTGGACGATAAATTTTTTATTTAGTTATAATCCTTTGGTCCTTTTTTTTCTCACAATCATGACTTTATTGAAACATAGCTCGAAGATATTTCGAACGCATACTTTCACCTCTCTAAAAATGAGTCGTAACTTCGCTACAGAAATTAAATCACCGAAGGTTCGTTTTTTAACATAATTTGGTATTATAGTCGTCTATTTATTAATTCTTTTTTGTAAAAAAAGCAAAATGAAATAAATTTTTTTAAAAAAATAAATTTTTTACATTAAACCATCGAAAAATATTTAGTTTAAAGACCCTTCATTGTTTTGTAAAAGTGCTTTTATAAATAATGAATGGGTAAACGCAAAATCGGGAGAAACATATTCAGTAATAGGTAAGATAAAGTTATAAGTAAAAATAATTGCTTTGATAGGAAATTCACATTAAGACCAATCCAATTGTTATTTAATCAGACCCTGCAACTGAAAATGAAATTGGAAAGGTTCCTGAGATGAATGTTGAAGATATCAGGGAAGCTATAAAGGCGGCTAAAAGTGCTTTTAAAGAATGGGCAAATTTAACTGCAAAGGTATCTGCCTATCTTATTATAATTCGAAATATGTTTTTATTCAGCTGAATAGGATTTAAGTAAGGGAAACAAAAAAAACTTCTTATATTCTCTATTTAGAATCGACATGATTTTCTTTTAGCTTTGCACTCTCAAATTTTGGAAAATCAAAACGATCTTGCCACTATTCTTACTCTTGAAAATGGTAAATCATATAATGAATCCTTAGGTGAAATAAGATATGGTGCCACTTTTGTTGAGTGGTTTGCACAAGAGTCTAGACGTGTTTATGGTGATGTAATACCATCACCTTTTAAAAATCATAAAATCATAGTGGAAAAACAACCTATTGGAGTTGTTGGATTAATTACTCCTTGGAATTTTCCAAGCGCCATGATTACACGTAAAGTAAGCGCAGCATTAGCGGCTGGATGTACTGTCGTAATAAAACCTGCACCAGAAACACCATATTCAGCTTTAGCTTTAGCCGAATTGGCTGTAAGATCAGGGTTTCCAAAAGGAGTTATTAATGTGGTAACAACTGATAAGCATATTAAAGAAGTTGGTTTGGAACTTTGTACTAATTTGGATGTGAAGAAAATATCTTTCACCGGCTCGGTATTTAATTTTATTTTAAATGTGAAACAGATCTATTTTAATTGAGTTAAATTTTATTTTCATTTTAACAGTCTGCAGTGGGTAAACTTTTGATGGAACAAAGTTCTAGTACATTAAAGAACATCTCTTTAGAATTAGGAGGAAACGCGCCATTCATTATATTTGATGACGCTGATATAGATTCAGCTGTTGAAGGTCTGATTTTCTAATTTAAAAATGGATTTCTATCAAAAATGTTGGAAAGTAATATGATTTATTTTATTTTCAGGTGCTATTGCATGCAAGTTCCGTGCAATGGGTCAAGCTTGCATTGCTGCAAATCGTATTTATGTACAATCATCAATTTATGCAGAATTTGCATCTAGATTAGCGGATAAAGTTAGTGGATTTCAAGTAGGAAATGGATTCGATCCAAAAACAACTCATGGTCCTTTGATTAATCAAAGAGCTGTAAATAAGGTGACGAGACATGTTGAAGATGCTGTAGCAAAAGGTGCTGAAATACTTATAGGGGGTACAAAACATACAGGAAATTTTTTTTATCCTACAGTTCTCACTAATATGACTAAAGAAATGGTTATTACATCCGAGGAGACATTTGGCCCAATAGCTGCTTTATATAAATTTGAAACGGAAGATGAAGTTATGAAACTAGCAAATGATAGTCCGTATGGGTTGGCGGGATATTTTTATAGTAGAGACATCGGAAGATGTTGGCGTGTAGCTAATGCTTTAGAAGTTGGTATGGTTGGTGTCAATACTGGGATTATACACAATTGCGAAGCACCATTTGGTGGGGTAAGTGATATTTTTATTAATGTTGTTCAAATGCTTATAAACTTAATTTACTGATTCTTTTGTTATTGTCTTGATGATAGATTAAAGAATCAGGATTGGGACGTGAAGGTAAGAAATTTTCCTATATTAATTATCATCATATTATATATATAAACTCTCATTATTTTTTGATAGGTTCCAAATATGGTATTGACGATTTTATTGATTTAAAATATGTTAGTATGGGTGGATTATAAATTATGACACGATAAATGACATTTTTGTTTCTTCAATTTTTATATTTAAATAAATCTCATTATTATTCTGAGACCATTAAACCAATTCCTTCACACTCTATCAAATACATGCCTTCATCCCAATCTAGCGAATTATCTTGTATATTTACTAATGATTCAGATGAATCGAGTTTTTTAATATGAAATTTTGCACCTGACATAGTTTCAATAAAATGTATGGCTGTACGAGTATGTAAAGTTATAGGACCTGAAACTAATTTTGATCTACTTTCAGCTAATGCCATAAAAATGATTAATTGATCTTGTAGATGTCTATAATATTTTTTAAAAAAAGCGTTAAAATAGTTGAAGTTTATTTATACAAAGAAATCTTTAATTTACTTACTCGTCTACGCATCCTCCATGTTTAATATTTCGTATAAATTTTTCGGCCGCATTTTTCCCTACTTCTTCAGGTGTTTCTTCTGTGTTATTAAAAAAATCAGTTATTATTTTTTTTCGCCATTCTAAAAACGTTTTTATTTACACACTTTTATTACTTATATCATTTCCACTTATAATACATCCAGTACTTGTCTCTGCCCATAATCTAATTAAACTGTAACGCGTAAAAAAATTTATTTGACATAGATTCCAAACATAAAATTAATTTTCACCATCCTACAAAATTTCAGACCCTTTTCCAGCATTGATCTTTTCAGAATTAATTTCTATATCGAATTGAATATTTTCAAGTTCAGGTAAAGCTGCTTCTGTTAATACTTCAGACGCGGCAGTAGCCATTCGTTTTCCAATCTCAATTAATTATATAAAATATTTAAGTATTTAAATCATCGGCAATAAAAATATATATCATATATTAATTACTTGTTTCGACTTGTTCGCAATAGTAACGCGTCTTAAAAGTTGATTGAAAAGGGTTAAATTTTTTTATATATCAAAAAAAAAAAGAAAAATAATAATTAATACAAATAAATATATTTTTACCCTCTAACTTTAGTGATTTCTCCACGATCGACCAAATTTAATGGTTTTAGAGTTCTTTCAACGATTGGATCAACCCGTAACACTACTTCTCCTTTACCTTGAGGATAATATCTATCGAAATAAAAATATAATTTGATCCATCGAAATTTAACAATAATAAAGTTAATCCTACCCTCTTCCTACTACGTTAATATTAAAATGCAATCCAAATTCACGTTCTACGATAGGTTTAAATACCTTTATACAAACCGGCAAGATTTAATAAACTTTAAAATATTAATTAGAATATTAAGATAATGACATTTAGTTAATACCTCTATCAAAAAATCAATTGGTGGAGAAGCAATAACGGTTGTTCCACCTTTGAGTATAACCTTTTTGGATCTTGGTGGAAGAAACAATTTTTTTTTTGGTGGTGGAGCCGAAAATAATAAGGCTGGTAGGGAAATTTGAATCAATAATGTAATACTCCTAACAACATACAAAAATAATTATTCAGATCGAAAATAAAAAGAGATCATATATGTCAAACTATTTAATTAAATGACTAATCACCCTGCTGTTTGGGTATCAGCTATGAAAGTGTCACTAGTGTTTACTCCATTTGGTTTAAAATATATTTCTTGGGATCCGATCTATTTATAAAGTAATTCTAATATGAAACGATGAAAATAATTCGAAGATCAGACATCAGAATGCTTACGTTGCCTCCTTGCAATTCTGCTTGATAAAGATCTTGCATAAGTTTAAGTCCAGATGCATGCTGAGGTTTTAAACCTAATTATCAATTTGATCAAATTAAAATACAAGTACACGCTTCAAAGAAATAATAAATTCTGATACAAATCTAAATATCTACTAAATACTAACCAGGATCTTTGCGTTTAGCTCTAGCATTTAATAATTTTACCGGTTTATTTAACAAACAGCTAATAATATAGCTTTAAAATTTAGAAATATGATTTTCACAACACACAATAGTACAAAAATCCAAAAGCGGTTGAAGAATTACCTCAAGCCTATACAATTTCGAATAACTGAAGAAAATTCTCATTTACAATTTTATTCATATATGATCACCGATATTTATTTTTTATAGTAAATATTTTACCTTGCCCACCACCTTCAAGGAGACCTGCGTCAAGAGTTAAAACTTCAGTTTTAACATCTTTATCTGGTCTACTATCTTCAAGGAGACTTAAAACTTTAGTTTTAACATCTTTATCTGAAGACATGATTATGAATTGAATTGTCGATCTTTGTGGGAATAAATATTTAGGCGTATTTTATGATGAGATCATGAAAAAATCGGATATTGAAATTATAATCTATAAGGAAAATGGGTAAAAATAAAGGAAAAGTCAATAGTCAACGACGTAATTTTGTTTCTAATAAAAAGTCTAAAAATGTACATAATCGGTATAAGCAGAATGTCTCAATTAATAATGATATAAGGTGTGATATATATGTTGTTGACACTTAATATCTGTTATGATTTATATTTAAATGAATTTTAATAGTGAAGAGAATTTTCTTGGCCGTGGAGAGACAGATATGATTGACTTAGATCATAAAGGTTTAGATCTACCTTTGTTCTTTTGATTCTCTGAATCATTTTATCAAAATTTCTTTCTAATTTATCTTCATCACCGTCACCATAAACGACTTTTTACATAAAGGTAATAACATTCCTATGCCATTAGGAATGTGGGTAAGTTTCATTCTTATAATACAAATGTTTACTTATATTTTAATTAATTTATATATTTTCTAATGTGTATAGGATTTTGAACATTGTGATCCAAAAAAATGTTCAGGTAAAAAATTGGTTAGATTTGGTATAGTGAAAGAATTAAAAGTGTCAACTAGATTTCGGGGAATCGTTTTAAGGTATAAAATTATTTGATTTTCTATTCATTCTTTTAAAATTCTTAAATATACATGTCTATTTTAATATTTTATTAGCCCAGAAGGAAAAAAAGCAGTTTCACCAGCAGATCGAGAAATCGTACAGGAATATGGAATAGCTGTTATTGATTGCTCTTGGTCTAAATTAGATAATGTTCCATTCAGTAAATTGAGAACTGGAAATGATCGATTATGTAAATTATTCCTTTTTTTTTTATTAATTCTTTCATCCATTAAAAGCTCCGTAGTTAAATTCATTTTTTCCCACGTAGTACCATATTTAGTAGCAACAAACCCCGTAAATTATGGCCGTCCTTGGAAATTAAATTGTGTTGAAGCATATGCCGCTTGTTTTTACATAACCGGTAGAAAAAAAATACAAAAATCATATGAATTTAAAAAATTTCATATTTATTTCTTATTTTACCTTTATAGGGTTCAAAGAGTACGCTCAAGAAATATTATCAAAATTTAAATGGGGTCATTCATTTCTTACACTTAACGGGTAGAAATAAGTTATCGCATACATGATTTTTTTTTTTTCCACAAAATGCATTAACACGTTTTTTCTTTAATGTTTAGTGAATTATTATCAAAATATGTACAATGTGAAGATAGTACAGAAGTTGTTAAAGTTCAAAATGATTGGTTAAAAGATCTGCAAGCAGAGTATACTCAAGCTCGCGAAAAAGGTGCGAGAAAACTTAATATATGATATTTAAAAAAAAAATTTTTATTTTTAAAAATTCTGATTGTAAAAATTCATAGATAATGAAGATGTCGATTTATTAGCTAGAAATCCAAATCATGAGTTTTGGGATCAAGAAGAAGAAGAAGATGATGATGATGATGATGAAAAAGATGAAGATGATGAAGAAGATGATGATGATGATGATGATGATGATGATGAAAATACAAACAATAACTAAAGAATTCCAAGAAATTATTTTATTTAATATCTATATCTTTATATGGATTAGATAATTATTATTATGAATATATTGATTCAAGTTCAAACTTGTTTTTTATCATATAATTTATTATAATTATTACCAAATATATATGATATTAATCTAATAGAAACTAACTTGTCTGAACAATAATTATAAAACTATTTTGAGTAAATTTAAAACTCAAAATAATATTCCTAATTATTAAATGCTAATAATGCATGTATATGTTGATTTAAATTTTATCAACTTGAGATAGTATAATGAAACAAATAAATCTGTATAATAAATGATATTATTAATTTTGATTCTGATTGGCAAAGTTCTTTTTAAATTAGTGTTAGTTTATGGCTTATCAGTTCAGCCGTAATTTAAAATACCAGTTTTTTTCATTTTTGCCAAATCATAAATTATGGAAGGTTTTCTTTTGATAAACCAATCATTATTTGGCCTTTTGGCTTATTTTTATAGTTTATTCTCATAAACTTACCTTTTAAAGGAATATCTAGATTTTGTACTAAGAAAATCGGCACAAACATAATATTACTTAATCATATTTGACCAGAATTAATATCATTGTCCGGATTTGCACAAACGTGATCTTGGGTTCTTAGAAATCGGCCGTGTTACAAAACAAATTAAAGGCTACGAATTAGATGATCAACTTTCAGAATAACAATGTATTAAAAAAATGGTAGTAGATACGGAAAAGGAATGGTAAAGTGGTTTTTATACTCCAAATTAAGACTTGGTTAATTTAATTTGAAAATCTTAAAATTCGGAAAAGTCCATCGAATTTTTTAAAAAACTCGGTTTTTTTTTTTGGAATAGAAGTGATCATGTAGTATATATATGTATTTGATCAATTACGAATGCAGGGTCGTGGTTGTAACCCCAAAATTTGACCACAAAAACCACAAAAACCACAAAAGATAGTCTCGTTTACGATATCCTTCCCTTTTTTTTTCTTTTGCAGTGTTTTCTTTATTTTACCTGATTTCTCGTAAACCCGGTTCGTCCCATAAATACCATAAAATACCGAGGTGCATATTTATAAACAACTATAAATAGGCGAGAATATAACACATATTTCCCTCTTTAAATCTCCTTCAATCCATTTCAATTCCTCTCACATAATAAAAATATACCTTCTATAACCGTATTCCTTCTTTTAATATAGTTAATATACTTTTATTCTTTCAAAATGTATCAAAAAGAAGAAAAATATATTGAAGTTGATGAGCCAACTTCTTTCCTTCGAGAAACAATAAAAGAGATGGAAGATATTGACTCTACTGGGATCCTCAAATGTGTGGACCAGCATGTAGTTGATACCTACAATGCTATAAGTATAGCCGCAAAATTAGGCGCATATCGCTTACTGCACTTTGAGGAGCTGCCCAAAGAGTGGCAAGAAAATCCGTAAGTACATAATAAATCGGTTGATTATGATGATACGTTTCAAAGTTATTTTTCATGAACCACTAATTTCATTATTATGCAAAGAATAGAAATTAATTCAACCTTTTTTTTTTTTATTATTTAGATATATTCGTTCCGGATATCGTTTCTTGTCAACTAAAAAACAATGTCTCCAATCTATCTTTTGGCTTCACAATGAAACCTGTAATATTTGGACACATCTTTTGGGGTTTGTGTTCTTTTTGTGTCTAGGTGTATATTCAATCTTGACTCATTTAGAAAATGCAACTATGTTCGATAAACTTTTTTTTGCAATCTTTTTTACGGCTGCAGCAAAATGGTATTTTTGTAATTTCCTTTTTTTTTTCTTTTTCGAATTACTAGAACTTTTATTAAATGAAATCATTTTATGAATTTTAGCTTGGTTTGTTCGGTCATGTATCATACATTTATCCATTGTGCACACATTCCAGTAATGAAATGTGCAGCTACATTTGATTATATTGGGATATCTCTCTTGATCACAGCCTCTATCTTGATCACCGAATATTACAGTTTTTATTGTTCAACATCTTTAAGTGTATTTTATATTACCTTTACATCGCTATCCGGTCTTGTTCCAATTGCATGCTCAATGTTCCCGTGGTTTGACACAAAACAATTCCGTTTATTCCGTGTTGTACTTTTCATAATGCTTGGTTGTTCCGGACTATTTCCTTTAGCACATAAGATCCTACTTCACGGATTCGATCATACATTTAATTTTATTCAACCTATAATTTCCAGTATTTTTGCCTATCTCACAGGTGTTTGGATTTATGCCAATAGATATCCTGAAAGAAAATGGCCTGGAAAATTGGATCGATTCGGAATTCATAGTCATTCACTATGGCACGTTTGTGTATGTATCGGAATTTATGAACATTATAAGGCTTCTTTATGGTTTTTCCAACAAAGATACGTACATTGTCCGGCCAATCTTTAATTTTTAAATGCTTAAGATCAAATTAAAAAAAGACAATTATTTTAAGAGAACAATATCATTCATTGTATTATATAGAATCAGTTGATAAAACAAAAAATAGGATTCGGTTTATAGATTAATATAGTATATAACACAAAAAAAAATTAAATTATTTACACTGTACCACAAATTAATATAGAAAGTTCGTTTAATAAAAAAAAAAAGGTAATTTTAATTTAAGCTTGCTAATTGTACAACTTAATGGATGATGATTTCAGTGATTTCAGCCCAAAGAAAGCTCGTAAATTTTATTTTTTCAAGCGGTAAAAAATTTTCAGTAACAGGAGACAGTACACAATCCAAATTTGTTTTAACCCATTTCTAAATTAAGTAAATAATATTAGCATCCCGTTTAACTTTCACATTCAATACTTTTCAGAATTCATCTTCTATCAGATAAATTATTCTTTATATGGACTCGACTCTTTAATCTATTTTGCCGCTTTCTTAACCCTAATTGGAAGTTGCTTTACTCATTGCTGCGTCTAATCAATTTTTATAAATAAAAATCCGGATAAAGAATTTGTTGAAAGATTATCAAAAAAAAAAAAGTGCTTCTGACGAAATTCATTGTTTAAATTGTTCTATCATAACTGATTGGTTCATACAGTACATTGGATTAGATAATAACGTTATTATTAATCACTTTCTGAAAAATCTAATTAATAATCATTATCATTAATGAATGACCCATCCATTATTATCCTTCATTCATATGATTTCTTTCAATAGTCATAAAACCATAAAAGTCTAATCATACATTTTTATACATCAATTAATTAATAATAATGAAGGGTGGGAGTATTTCATATCACAAAAGTAAAAACTAGGTAATTCTCATATACGTCACGAAATTTATTGCTCGGTTAAATTATAATTCCTTGAAAAATCAAAAATAAATTTAAATAATTTTTAGCCGAAACCGAAACTATGCTTTTTTTTTTTATTCTCGCGTCATTATTGAATTAGTGTATGTAAATCACTAGTACATTTTGGTCCAATCAGTTGATATATTTAACATATAACAAAATTCAAATCGCGTCATAAATATCACAATATAATTTCAGAGAATGGAAAAATGAAAAAATGCTCGTGTTATAAAATAAATAATTTGTAATGTAACAATTTTAAAAATGAACTCAATTCTACATCATTAAAAAAAAAATTTTTTTAAATAAATAGAATCAATATTCTCCTTCCTCAACACAACCAATTTTTTTAATTTTTAATAATGCAAGTTTCAACTTCAACTCGTATAGCAACCGCTCTTGTAGTTGCAAAATTATTTAACGACATTCTTCCTGTTCTTGCTCAAGCAGGAGGAAATGCAGGTGGGAATTCTGAGTCATTGGAATCTTTTATTTCGAGAAGAGCCGTCCGTAATACATGGATTGCCTTTTGGATTCTTTGGATTATTTGGGCACTTATTTCGTAAGTGGCATCATGAAAAATTCAAAAAAATTAAAATAATTATCGTTTGTATATTAATTATTAATTAATTATTTTGTGCATAAAATTTAAATTATACAGATTATTAGATTACACCACGAGAGATAGAAATTATACTCGTGGTGGTGACGGTGTTGAAAGTGGTGACCGTAATAATAATAACCCCAGAAACAAAGGATTCTCTCGTTTCGTAAGTAATTAATCCTTTTTGAATACATTCTTTTTCTAAATTTTTGCTAACGCAATGAACGCAATGAACAATTATTAGGTGAATGGTGGAAATGGTGCAAAACGAGCAGCAAGATTAGCACGTGATCTTTTATTGGGATTACTTTCGGCTTTAGTTATGAATACATTCGCACGTGGATCAGCTATTTCAGTTGAAATTATAACTTGGTTCTATTTAGGAATAGCGATTATTATGTTGCTTGTTGAAATTTTGGTGGATAGTAAAATAGCAAAAATATTCTTTGGTATTGTGGAATTTGGCCTTCTATTAACCATTTTTAGCTTGTCTTACCGTAACGGCTGGAAATTTTTTAATGCTTAAACACAATATATTTTAGCCACTTGAATGTTTATTTTTTATTTTTTCTCACACTATTAATTTATTATTAATTGTATTTAATTGCTAGCGAATATTCTCAATTCGAAATTTATAAATTTAAATAACTATTTTAATATAATTCAAAATTTTATTGTTATTAATTGTTTTTATTGTTTCAAATGTACTGTATTTGCGCTAATTCTGTGAAAAATGACTAATCTATTTTTTTTCAAGCTAATTTCCTGTTGGCGTTGTCCTTTAAATATTACCATGGGAATATCAAATGCGAAAAGTAAAAGAGGAAGTTAATTTTCTTTTAGAAAGCTTGTAATGATATATATTGACGGAACTTCCGCATATACGTACATAATACATAAATATTTAGTAAAACCTTGTTTGTATTAAAATATTTATTTAAATGATAAATTTCAAGAAATTTCTCATATTAGTCTAAATTGAATGAAACTGTATAACAATGGTGATAATGATAATGGTTAGGCTCAACCGGACTTCAAATTATCAATTAATTATCTAATAAAGGTTAGTGTAGTTTAACGCATAGTGATTCTTTATTTTGATTATAACAAACATTAAATAATATTATATCATACATTAATTGTAAACAACCATAGGAAAAGCAGAACCTATTAATCTTTCACCATGTCCACCTTTCTCAAAGAAAGGAAAAACTTTGATATTTAGGTTAACATCATCAAATGTTACTTTGGTATTTTCTTTACCAATATAATAAAGTAGAGTATACATCGATAATTCAAATTCTGGAGAAGTACCAACAAATGAAGTTGAAAATGGTTTTTTGGCTCCTTCAAATGAAAATCTTATCTCAATTACATGAGAGTTTGGATCGGGCTAAAAATTATGTTTGAGATGAAATGTCTTATAGTGATTCGATTTTAATAAATTACAAGAAGAAAATTCTAAAAGGGTACTTACTTCTTCATTTCTGTTCTTTTTATTTGATACGAAACCTTCATAATCAATTTTACCAACTTTCTCGTTGAAATAAAACGTAATCCAATTATGAAATGCTACAAAAAATATCCCAAAAGAATATTAATTTTCTAAAAAAAAATCTTTAACCCGAAATCATAATATTATATACCTTTTGCTTCACCATCTCTAACTTCACCAACAAAAACATGTTCAAATGCAGAAGAATCATCTTCACCCTCTCTTCTATATAAATCAAACCATATTTTGTGAAGTTGTTTTTCAAAATCTGCCATACTTCCCTTAATTTTATTCTTGGCTTTTAAGTAATTGTAGGTATAAATCATTGGAGAAGTTTCTAAACATGCTTTAATAAAAGCTCGATTTTCTTCCAATTCATGAGTATCAACTTCTTCCGGAATTCCGGTTTGTGGAATGTAATTATCAAGTAAATGATAGAATAATTGAAAGGTTGGTATTTTACCAACTTTACCGTCTACAAATTCGAATAACTTTTTTGATGTATTATCACCTGTAAATAGAAATAAGATTTATCCCTGATTTTTTAAATTGATTAATGAAAAATTTTGAAAGAGGATACTTTACTTCTTCCACGAGCTAAAACTAAATTAAGAGCATACTACAAAAAAAAAAAAATATTTTTTTTTTTTTCAACACTTTATAACTTTTTAAGCTTCACTTTTATGTTTTAAATTACATACATCGACACCAGGTTGTAATCTATTCTCATCTAATTCCCAAAGTTTTTCTAAAGCAAGAGTAACATCTGATAATTCTCTATCCGTCGGGGTCGTCATATTTTTAGAATTTTTTTTTTTTTATAAAATTCTGTCATTCAAACATCGAACTTGGATTGTTTATATAGAAGTTCTCATAATGTAATGCAAAACCTTGTAATTAGCATATACTTGCAGCGGATTATCTTTATATGAATCTGGATTTTAGATTTGTATTTCAATTCTTTCTTCATTCACAATCCCACTCTTGTACAAAAGTCTTTTGTTGCATTGACTTTCAAAAAGACCTACCACAAACAACAATCTCAATCATGTAGGATTCTTTCCTGATTATCGAATAATAATTTACCTTCATTCATTGCATGATTTTAATTTTTTTTGATTGGGTGAAACGTTCCCAAATTTAACTTATTTTTCATATTTGTTCTACTATTTTGTATATATTAACGAAAATGATTTCTTTTTTGTTTGTTTACTGTTTATTACCCTAGACGGATAATTATAATGAAGGTTAAAAGTATTAAAAGTATAACGTGGTCACACGGTCACATGCTGATGTTCTGATGTTCATACGCAATACAGGTCAGCAATTTTTTGAGTTTTGGCGTTTTGGGCAACTGAACAGATAATGCACATGATTTGTAAATCTGGTGATCATTACCATACCAGCATTTGGACTAAATTTCAGGCCACTCTGCGTGAAACTCACCCTAATTTTGGGTAGTGACTACTGACTAGTAATATTTAATTTTTTTCACAAACATATTTAACAATTTTGGCAGGTTTCGCTGTTCGCATTTAGAATTATAAATTCCTTAATTTACTTTACTTTAAATGTAATAATATTATATTTAAAATAATTTTCAGATCTTGTTTGATCTTCAGACTTAGAATTATTTACTTTTTAAATTCAAATGCAATAAAAATCAGTTGAATATTAAATTAAGAATTCTTTTTGTTTCGTATAATGGAAAAGTAAATCATTTCTGATCAGTAGATCGGTCCATAATAAACCCATTTTGATGTAATTAGTTAATTAAGGGGTAATTAAATTTAGTATTAATTTATTATATTACCTCTTTTTTTTTAAATTTAATTAAAAATACAATTCATATACTTATAAAATAGGTTACATACAGTAAAACAATCTATCTATTTATAAAATAAGTTACAGAACCCCAGAAATTTAATATATAGAATCATAAAGTACTTTTAGCTAAAATCAACCCTTTTTACTAAAACTTAAAAAATCATTTTTTACAATTTTCTCAGCATCCAGTAAGTCTAATTATTTTGATACCTTTTTTTAAATTATAAATTCAATCACAAAGAATTAAAAAAATTGCATAACCTTTATTTTAACTTTAAAAAAAGGTAACAACTTGCTAAAAATGTGATTTTAAAGATTTATGAGATCTTATAAAACTGGTTATCTAGATTTTATTATAGTTCTATTATAGTTTCAGTAAAGTTTTAGCAGTTTCATCATTTATAATAAATTTTATTAAAATCCAAATAATTTATATATAAATTATATTTGAAATTTACTTATTAATTATATAAAATTTTAAAAAATTGCTTATTTTAGAAATATTTTTTAAAGTATATATTTATATTTTTTAATCAACTAATAATTTAATAAAACTTTAATATAGCTTTACTATAATTTATTACTTTTTTGCTATTATACCAATTTTTTATTTTAGCAAACAACTTTAACTAACTAAATTACAATTTAATTTATAAATTGAATTGTATCATACCATTTTGAAATTAAACAACTCCTAAAAATAAGCAACTTTGGCTCACATTATAGTGATTTTATCCAGAATTATAACTACTTTGGCTGGAATTAAGTTCAAAAAATGGTTGTTTAATTTAAGAATAGTATGGTAATAATAAAAATAAAAGTTCTATTTACTTTTAATAAAAGTTATATTAAATATAAAGTAAAATTTATATAAAACATTTTAAAGATTTTATTATATATAAATAAATTACACTTGAAATTTACTTATTAATCATATAAAATTTTTAAAAATTGCTTATTTTAAAAATATTTTAAATAATATATCTATATTTTTTAATTAACTAACAATTTAACAAGACTTTAATATAATTTATTATAATTTATTACCTTTTTACTATTATACTAATCTTTTAGTTTTAGCAAATAATTTTAACTAGCTAAATTATAGTTCAGTTTATAAATTGAATTATAATAATAAAAATAGAATTCTACTTACTTTAATAAAAGTTAACCCTTAAAAGGTTTTGCAGCCAAATTTACCTGCTATTTGTTTTTTAATTAAAGACGCTTTTAAATACCTTAAAATATTTTATTACATAAACCAATATTTTTGTAATAAATTCTATAGTATTTTTTAAGTAAAAATTAAAAAAAAAGTTCAATTTGATTAATAATTTTTTAAAAGTAAATGATTGACAAATTATAACAAATAGTAAATTTTTAAATTAAAATATCTTTTTATTTATTAATCTTAAAAATATAAAATCACTACCATTTGATGTATCTTAATGAGAAGAATCTAATAGAAATAAAATTGTCCTTCTACAAATATTATGTGACAGGATAATTTATATAAATCAATATAGCTTTTTATTTATCAATCTTAGAGTTATGATTTTATTACCATTAAATGCATCTTAATAAAAGAAATCTAACAAATATAATTTCATCTTTCTATGATCATTAGATCTTAAGATATTTTAAAAATTCAAAAATTTTTAAAATTAATTTTAACCCTTATAGTTTAAAGGATAGTTAGAATTTATTAAAGATGTTAGCCGTAATTCAAAAAAGTGTCGTAATACAAAATTTTTATATGCCGTAATTAATTAAGGCTATAAAAATCTTATAGCCGTAATTCAAAATTTTTTAAAAAATAATTAAGGCTAACATCTTTAGAATTTATATATAAAATATTTTAAAGATTTTACTATATATATAAAATATAAATTATTTTATTTTGAACTGTCATAATTGTAAGTAAAATCCAAAATTCAATTATAGCATCCCAAATTATTTTGGCACTTTATATAGTAAATTACATATAAACTAAATGAATTATAGCATCCCAAATTATAATCACAGTATTCTAAAATACTTTGGCAATATGTATAATATAAAAAAAGAAATATTATATTGTATATATTGTATTATTATGAATGCAATAAAAAGTAAAGTAAATTTACATATAAATGCTGAAAATTTTATTGTGATTTCTATAACTATCTATTAAAAGTAAATGGAATTCTAATAAAAATAATAACTAATAAATATGATAATTTTTAACTTGTTAATATAAAAAAAGTTTTGATATAATTATAACTGAAAATTTTATAACTAACTGAATAATTAATATTTATATCAAAAAGCTAAAAATTTCAGATTGGCATATTTTATATATATATATATATATATATTTTATTTCATTTTGTTTATTTGGTTTACTAAATTATTATAGCTATTTTTAAGAATTTGTTTGAAATTTACATGTATTTTTTTTTATAGTATATTTGGAATAGTTCATTTATTTGTTTTTTGATAACTTATAATTAATTGGAATGGAATCAATATACCAGTAATACACCAATAATAGAAACAGGAATAACAATTATAAGAAATATGTGAAGCATATATTTAATTTTTATATAAACTACTGTAACAGGTAAGTACAATTTTAAAGTAAATTGACATTTCAGTAAGGTAATAATACTACATCAATTTTATAAACATACATACAAAATTATTTTTACTTATACGTAATAATGAACTTATTACTACAGTTGAAAAAAATTGGAGGGCATTAGATAATAAATATTTCAAGCTAAAAATAATAATAAAAAAAAAATAATAAAGAATAATACATAAATGTATAATACATTAATTTAATCTTAATACTAGGTCTTGAAAAAAATTCACATTGATAATTGAGAAAATATACTTTCGAATATCAAATTTGTGACTTCTATATAGAAAATGATTCCTTAGCAAATTTGAATCTTTAGAAAGCAAAAAAAAAATTTCTTGTGGTTGTAAAAAAATAATAATTTGAAAAATCGTTCGTTGTTGCATATTAAATATCAAAACGTTAAATTTTTGAGATTCTTGTATTTTACGTTAAAATATCAGACATGAATAAAATACAATTTTGAAGAAAGTACTGTATTAAACAATTATTTTGCAAATGGATTGTGCGAATATATTCAAAGTGTCGTTTAAATGACCAATTTTTGAACTTTTTCTTTCTCCAAAAAAAACTATTATTGTATTGGAAATATTTAGCAAATTTTTGTTGTTCGAAGGAATGCATTTTTGTAAAAAAAAGGAAAAGAATAATCTACAAATTGGAACTTGTCACAATCGACTTATTTTAAATACAGGAAGAACTTCAATAAATAACGCGTTGTCTATTATTTATTTATCTATATGTCCGGATCATCGCACACAATACGCTTACAGTGGACTGTCATTGTCAATATTTTCCATTTGGTAATAAATAAAGGGAACCCTTCATTTGTTGATGATATTATTAATTTATTACTTGTTTAAGTATCTAAAAAGATTAGATCGATATACTGTATGAAACGCGATTAAAGAATGACTTGTCAATAATGACAAATATAGTAAAAACAATAAAAACCCTGTAATTTGTTTTACACGGTCAGGTCAGTTGTTACCATGTGAAATCGATGACTATTCAATGATAAAAGATAAAATCTAATCTTTGGTGAAAGAATTCATTTAACATATTGTGGGGTTTATAAATGTGGGGCAAATATTTGTGGGGACCCTACAAACTTATATTCCCCACATGATTAAATGAGTCAATAAGAACAAAAAAGTATTCACTTAAAGGTATAATATATTGACTGCCACGTGAGCAACTTCAATAAAAGTCATTCAATTCCACTTAGTGCTTTTACTATATAAGTTCTCACAATAAATATTATATTGCTTAAAATGAACTAAATCATTAATACTCATTCACCTGTTGTCGACCTGTCGTACATTTGTTTGGAAGTCAATAAGAATAATTGTTAATAATATTTTGACACATTCTAATTGTCCAGCAGTGATTCTTAGAAATCTATTCGCTTTTGAAGGTCTGATAATATATATGTTGTCATCATCGGGCATCGACTCAGCCATTCAGCCGTGACCAAATGTCCAAAAAAATATGGACCAGCCGAGTGTCAAACTGAGGGTTCACACAGAATCACTAAATTCTTTGATCATATAGTGCCGACTTTCCGACTTTATTACTAAAAAAAAAATTGTGACCCAGGTAAAAAAAATCTCTTTTTTTAAGAAACTAATATTTGGTCTAATTGTAATCGAAACGTAGATATGAGGCTGAAGTTTTATGGTACTTAGCACAGTACCTTCATTTATGTGCAACTAAAGAGCTTTTTCGAGATTAGTCTTTGTATACAATAGCCAAGGCTTCATTATAGCTCGAAATGTTTATTTTTTTGAAAATTATTACCAACAACTCATCTTTTACCGGAATATTTTTATAGAATTCGATTATCCTTGTAATTGGCACCGTTGACTTTTGCTGCTAGCAGAAAATCAATAAAATAAATAATAGAATCTACGATTTCAGTTATTTTATCCAAGTACCTTTTTTCGTGGAATAAATTCACGATTTATAGAAATGGTAAATGAAATGTCAATGTTCTTAGTTAAGAAATAAATTTTCATCGGAATTGTCAAGAGGATTTGTACCACGAGTTCAAAGTTATAAAATATTGTTATAAAAAAAAACTTTTTTAATGTTATATTAAGAGTATACATATAAACTGTACTGTACGAAGTGAGAACTCACCAACCAGATTTCATTGTACGATAAATAAAAAAAATTTGAAAAGTATACAATGAGTTATGATTGGCTAAAATATTTTCGTACAGTACAGTTTAGCTATTTACCTTATATTAACGCACTATAAGTTATTTGGCTCAAATATAAAGCTCTATTGGTTCATAAGAATTTTTTAGCATTAAAGTCAGAAGTATAGAAGTATACACTCACAGATCGATGGTTCATTAACAGATTTTGGAAAAAAAAATCGGACTTCTTGGTCATGAGTAGAAAAATGATACATGATAAACTGGCTTGCGAATCATAAATGGGAGATGTCATAAAACATCGTAATCTTATTCTTATGTTGGTTTATTTGTTTGTTTGATTAGTTTAGATCATATACAAGTTTAATCGCACAACTTTTTTTAATACAAAATAATTTGTCCTATACAAAGGCTTAAATTTGGCTTATTAGGACTTTAAAAACTACAAAACTACAAAAAATACTTTATATACTAAAATTTAAAGTGAAAAAAAAAATTATTATTTTATTCTGACTTTGTTATATATCCTTTTATCCTTTTATTTTCTTAAATGCGCTGTTCAGCTGCGTCTTTAATTAACGGCTTTGGTGCACATTTACCAGCTCTCCCTATAAAAAATTTTATCCGTTATTTCTGTAAAAACTCCGTAAAAATGAGTCTTTCACGGATCTATTCACGGAAATGTAAATAATTCGATAAATTCCACGATATAAGGAAAAAAGATGGAATATAAAAATGGATCGACTTTTTTTACAAGGTCTAGCGACTGCCATGCCTACAACATCTAAAGTAACGCCAATAATTCCACCTATAAGTGCGTGTTTTGGTTTTCCTAATTTATAATAAACACCGGAAGCAATCAGCTGATACAGTGAACCAGCAATTGGAATAATGCTAACAATTTCTGATACTTTTTTCTCAATTATCTGGGTCGAGCTGAGAACCTCTAATTCAACAGCACTATATTTAGTTCTGATAATCTGTCTTCTAAACGCTGTAAACTTTGTACCCTTTTTCTCTTATCGCTAGCGATAATGTCATCTTCATCTTCATCAGTCAAAGGAAAATCAACCGAAATAATTGGATAATTTCCAAAATTTTTCCTTATTATTTCCAAATTATCCGTAATCCATCCCGGCTTACTATGAGTAATGATGATAATAAAATTCTTTTCTCCTCCTTTAAAGGTCTCTTTGAATAATTTGAACATCTTAACATCTTCCTCAGTAATTCTTCCTTTTCTCCGAACATAAAATATATAGTTAAGGAGTAACTGATGATCCGAAAAATAATTTCTTACCGTTTTAACAGCCTTTTTATGTGAAACAAGATGAGATGATGGTTCACCCAATCCGACCATATCAAACACTTGATACTTTTCTGTAAAGTAACTCCTTACACGAACAGTTTCTCCGTCAGCACCGTGTCCAATTGTGAACTTATTATTATTCCGATATACTGTATGTCTCCTTGAACCAGCATGTTAGCAATAGAAGACTTGCCACATCCGGTACGTCCAAAGAGAGTCACATATTTTCGCATGCTTATGTTTAATTAAACTGTAAGAATTGAAGAGGTGACCTCGGCTGGGAGAAAACTGAAGGCTGATTTGCATAGAAAAAAATTTTATTACATGACACATGCATGATTTGTGCATTAACATATGAAATTACAAAAAAATTCTTACTAGATATGTACGTTCAAAGCTTTACTAGTCAGCCTAATAAAGATTTTAAACTATGTTTTATAAAATATTCAACTAGTAGTCTTAACTACTCTCATAATTGAAGTTAACACCAAAAAAAGATAAAATTGGCATGCGTACATTTTATTAAAAAAAATGGTATATGTAAAGTTTCTTTTATATTTAAATTATTTATTATATAACTTCTAATGTTTGCAAAGTAATTATTTTTGTTGTAAGTACTAGATACAAACCTGTGATTACTGATGAAGGATTCAAATTTGATTCTTAGACCTATTGCAAACCATATAAAACAGGTATTTCTTTTTATCTACCTCATACAATTAAAGCAAAATCAAGCGAATCTAATAAAATAGAATCGATCTTACTACTATATCGAATCATCAATCAAAAGCGGTTATATATATACAGTATATACACTAATCATTTTGATTTTTTCTGTGGTTTTACAGTAATTTCTCGGATGTAAGGAAATGTAAAGGTGAAAAGCATACTAGTAAATGGAGCGTTTGATTTTCGTTTATGAAACCTGGCTCCATTACTAATAATGTTTGCTTTGAAATTGTAGATGAAATGAAGTATTGAAACTGCAAATCTCTGTGTTATACTGTTTCTTCGCTTATATCTAATTTAGTTCAATTAGTATAATTATTCCCAGTATCTATAATCACTTATCTTCCTTTATATTATCCATAGAAATACCCACATAAATATGATTTATTTCGATTGAAGCAGAACCGTAACCAGAATTTTAGCATAAAGAAAATGCGTTGCGTTAAATAGCTTTAAGATCCGCATTGAAAGCATGTCATATATATTTCCTTTATATCGCTTATTTTTCTTGATCATTTTACAAAATATTAAAGTATCTATTTATCTTTAAAAATAAAGATTGCACAAAAAAAGCATAAGAGGTAATGTAATAAAACGCCCGTAAAAATGTATGGTATTCTGATTATAAAGTTTTTTTATCGTAAAAAGAAAAATACTGTACGACTCAATTATATATTCCTGACTTTTCGCCGAAGTCTATTTCACTGAAGCACATTTCGTCAAAGCCATTTCACCGAATGGGCATTTCACTGAAGGACTTTTTACATAAGCCATTTCGCTAAAAAATTCCAAATAATATTTTTCCAAAATATTTACGAAAATTTAATTAATATTTATTAATAAAAAATAGAGTATTAGATTGAATTTAATGATGAAATGTCAATTATTTGGTGTCGGCGAAATGGATGATTTAGAGAAAAGTATTCGGCAAAATATCCATTCAGAGAAATTTCCACCACCCTTTGGCAAAACATCCTTTCGATGAAATGGTGCAATTCTGATTCAATTAGGAAACATCGTTGAAACCGGCATCATTCCACTGATCATCTCATATCCTGTCAATCACTTGTTAGTCACTTGCTTAACTTGTTTATTAGTTATATAAAGCAACATGATTCTAAAACACTTTGGTAAGGTTTAAAGGAACTATACATATGAAAATATATTTTAAAAATAACTATGTTGCAGAAAAAAAATTAACTGACTTGCAATAATTATAGATTAATTTTTTTAAACCGGAAATGATTTGAATACGAGATTTCACGAACCACACATATATACTAAAGTTTTCTTACTAGAATCATCAAATTAAACCACAACCGACCAAAAAATGCGAGAGCGAGACTATCACAATAGGGGTATGGCTGGATAATGATTTCGATGGTATCAGCGGTAAATACCCTGTTAACCCGTGACCTGCGTCCGATTTCCACCAAAAAATTTCACGAAATCACAAATTACAGAGGACGCGTTTGTAACATGTTAAATTTCTTAATGTCGACCGAATGGCATAATGCCGGCTAATTTTCGTGATTTGATTATTCTGACAAGTTACATCACGTGACTGATAAAATGCACATAGCATTATCCTTATAAGTTCATGCAGATTTTACATAATTGTTATTTTGGATAATAACAATAATAACGGAAGTTTACTATAAAAATTGTAATATTATTATTGGATGATTAAACTAAATAATAGCCTAATAACGACACGTATTGCCGCATTAGACTATTATTTGATTTAAATCATCCAATAATATATAATTAAGAAAATTTTCAAAATTAAAAAAAATCTTAATAATAAATTATTTCCCAATAAACTCTTCATAATTGACCTTTCGGGATTTTTATTTCAGTTTTTGATTCTTAAGAATTGTAACTGTACCTTCGGGATTAAGAGTTTCTAAACTTTGAACCAAATCCGTTCGGTTTGTTTCTTTGGAAAAACAAGCTATTTGATAAAATCTAGAACATTTTCGCAGAATCTGATATGTAATAATGGGAAAATCAAAGTTAAACAATACATAAATTTTATCTTGTAATTTTTAATATAATCGTCACGTCATGTTACATAATCGCACAGATTTTTCTTACTTGTTACGTGAAATTAAGTACAAATTTACGAAATTCGGCATAAAATACTAGATTTCTATATCTGGAGTTTATAAAGTTTTTATTGGTCAATCTATTAGGAACATGCTGATTTTTGATGGACTTCTAACTGCCAATCAAATATATTTGTAATTATATAGACTATAAATTAAGCTTTAATATTAAATTTGCAAACTATCAACATGATCTTAACTGACTGGCGCAATAATTATTATATAAAATTATTTCAACTATACTCGTAATACCGCAAACTTTAAATAAATACAAACTTTAAATATGAAACACGATCTAAGATTAAAATCTACGCCATAAATATATTGTTATGTAAAACAATTACAATGTTAAAATTAACTTTAAAATTAACTTATGTAAATATTTGTTATGTGTTATATGGTAAATATGATAATAATGGTATCATAGTTGAACAGGATTATCAAATAACAAATCAAAATTACATACGTAAACTCAATGTATACAATGTACACGTGTGCATTTTTTTTAAAAGGAAAATTATGACGTACACCATATGCGCCATATTGCATATGTCAAAATATTGAACAAAGCAACAAACAAAAAAAAAATTAGATCTTTTTTTTTTTCACATAATCTTTTTGTTCTATCAGGTTATCACGATAGATATATTGAGATTTATGCTGTGAATGTGTACGTATGTATGTATGATGTTAACTTTACATATTTGTTGTGACGAGGAATAATAGCAAGCTCTTTCGTAAATAGTTTATCTAACGATTGTTATGTCCAATATGTCGGCTAATTATTAAAGAATTATTCTTTTATGTTAAAATTACATCTAATTATATCAATACTGAGCTAACTAAATATATTGATATATTTTTTAGATTGATTTTTTTTGGACGCGTATTAATGTCAATAATCTCGGTACGCCAAAACTCTTTCAAAATAATTCAAATGGGGAGATAATAGATTCTCATCCTTTATTTGGTAGTTTATTTGTCTTGCTAAAATTGGCTTATAGTTGCCACACAGCTTTCCACAGATTATTTTTCCCGGATGCGATAATACATTTAAAACTCCGTCGTCTTATTTTGTATAAATGAAATTGTCATATGTTGCCGTTTTGTTTGTGTTTACTGATGCTTAATCACACGAAGAAAATTTTATTTTTGTACAACATGCAATGATATAAAATAATAAATCTTTCCTTAGTTTGAAAAAATAATTTTTTTTAGTCCCTTTTATCCTTTTTCTAAAATTATAACTGAAAATGTCTCTAAAATATAAAACAATATTAACCTCAAATCAAAATATTATAAAAAGAAAAAAAAGAAGAATTTTGAGTCACTCAATTCAATTTCTAAATCGAAGAACTCAACATTTACTGATCAGTAATAATAATACATTTTTAAAACAACTTCCTTTACAGGATCATATAGAAATATTTTCTATCCAGTTGTTTAATGGTTCTTCTTTTTATTAAATTAGTTCTCCTTTTAATAAAAATTTCTGGCAATTTTTCGACATCATGGCGAAAATCTAAAGTCGAAAACATAGAGCCATCTGAAATTGGGTTATAAGCCTGTAAGGCTGTAATTGAATATAGACCTTCATAAATTTTATTTTTGTTTAATTATTCAAATTATTCAACATTTTTTTTATTAGAAAGCAATTTCTATTAAATTTATAAGTAATTTCTTTTAGTTTAAAAATGTAAGACTAGACAAATAAAATTTCACATTGATTTATTCAGGAGCGTCATTTTTAGGAGGATTATTTTTGTATTAATATAAGCTGTAATAGCTGTAATAGCAATTTTTGTATATGCTGTACATCCTTCAACTAAATAAACAAATAAATAGCCCTATGTCTATTACTTTTTACATTTTTACAGGTCGCACTATATCATAATGATGGTAATAGACCTAGAAAATTCGATTTGTTTAAATTAATATATCTAAATCGATTTTAGTTTTTTTTCTAAATCATTTATTCATTTATGGATTTATTACAAAGCTCGTAAACAGATCATACTCATTATGGCAATCTCGGTTAATTATTTGTTTATCAAATAAACAGACGGAACATTTTGATACGGTTAACGCGATATATTTTTTTGTGCTTATCCGAGGAATGTATAGTAACAGGAAAGGTTTTTTTTTATATTCACCAAAGAAATCAAACCAAATTTATCCTAATGATGGCTGAAGAGTGTACAATTTGTACTTGAGTATTAGAAAGCCATTGTGATAATCACAAATTTGAGTTCAGAATGTGTAAAAAGGTTTCATTGGCTGACCGGATAGTTTTGATAGACAAAAATATAACCTTCTTGTCATTTAAAATTTTAATTTACTACTAAGTTCTGTATTTGACACAATAAATTTTATAGTACAATAACCTAAAAGCCGGGATCCTAGTTACTTTATGGCAAACGGCATGGTAAGACTATAAAAATTTTTTTATACCCACATTTGATTTTGGCCAAAAAATTACAATTTGGCCAGTTAATTACATATGGCAAAAATGCTTAAATGGTACCTTAGGGCAATGATATATATTAATTTATAAGGAACCTTACCCCTACCTTCAGGTAAGATTTTTTTTAATCAAATATTCAATTATTTATATAATACTAATTTTAACCAATAAAAATGTTTAATTTTGTGTCACATAAGATTTTGCTTAACCCATATATATGTCATAGCCCTTATTCAGATTAAATATTCAATTTGTCATTAATTGATTACTATACTAAAATATTTCATCAATTTGGTTCTTTTTCTAGAATTTATTTCTGGTATCAGCTATTAAATTAAAGAGAATAATCATCAAATTAAAGAATTTAGGAAAATCTTTACTTCTATATATCATACCTCTATTTTTCATAAAACAAATTTTTTGCCATTTCAAATATAAACATAATTATAATTTAATTAGTATTAAACTAAATTGTTGAATATATTAATTCTTTAATATCTATGATAATATAAACTAATATTTTTAATTTTTTTTTTTTTCCACAATGCATTTGGAAGTTTATTAAATAAAAGTTATATAATATTTTTAAGAGAATTACTAAACTTAACCAGAAGGAATTTTCCTTCCCTCTCCTTTTATTTCAATTTTTAATTAAAATATTGATTTGTATAGTAATCTAAAAATAAAATTATATGTAAATTTATGAGAAGAAAAGGTTTATTAAATTAAAAAAAGTAGTTATTCAGATGGTTTTTGAGAAAATTACATAATTTTGATATTTATAATTAAATTGTATTTTTTATAATAAAAATTTTTTTAAAACCAAGAATTGCCAAATTTTTATGTGATTAATATCCAATTATATTATTTTATATATTTCATAAAAGTTTATTTTTTTTTTTAATTCTTAAGAGAGAAATTATTCCCCTGTAATACTCTATTTTTAATATAATTATATATTAAATAAATAAAATTATTTATTTAAATTAAAAGCAAATACTATTCAAAAATAAATAGTACAAATGGTTTTAAACTAATAATATATATAAATATAAGCAAATTATTTGCAAATAAAATTTATTAATTTAAAAATGTTTTTAAAATTATTAAAATTTAAAATATACAGTTAGATTTCTATATAGTTATACTTTATATAGTCATATCCTATAACTGATTTAAAATATACCAGTAATAAAAATCTTACTACTATTACAAACTAATTTTAATCTTTTTTACAATTATTTTTCATAAATTATAATATAATATATATAGTAATAAAAAATAATTTCTTTTTTTTTTTTTTTAATAATACAAACTAACTAATCAAATAATTGTTTAAAGGTTTATGATTATAATTACACTTTTGTATAATTATCATTTTTAACTAAACTAATTTGATTATTATGAAAGATTTAACTATAATAATAAAAAATAATATTTTATATTTTTTATTGTATTAATTTACTAATATACACAGTAAAATTTGATAAACCAAATTTATTAATTTTATTAAAAAATATCTGATTTATTGGAATATCTAGTATAATGAAAAAATTTTGATATATTAAAAATCTATTAAACTAAATTTTAAAATTTTTTTTATATTAATAAAATTAATATATACTATATTTTAATTTTTTCATTTTAGTTTTAAATTTTTTAAATTATAGAGATAATATAACTTCAGTTAAAATTAAATTTTTATAATAATTCTAGTTAAAATTAAAATTTATTATATTATACCTATATTAGTATATTACTTTAATTTTATTATTAATTTATACTTTATAATTATATATTATGATATTTTTTATTATAACTTATTAAAAATATAATTTATTATAGCAAATATTATGACTTTACTAATAAACTTTGATACATTAAAATTATTTCAATATATGTAATTTGATTTTAGTAAAAAAATCCAGTTTAAGTTTAAATTTAATTTGTTAAAGATCTAATTTATTAAATTTCACTATATATATAAATAATGGATTAATTTTATATTCACCAGTGGTTAATTTAAAATTAATTCACCAGTGGTGAATTTCACTTCAATTTTTATAAATTTTTATTAAAATACCAAATTTTAGTAATTTAATGGTGAATTTCACCTTGATTTACATGTATTACATAAATGTGTTACATTAAATTTTTAAAATTTTATGGTGAAATTCACCTTCGGTGAATTTTACCCTAATTTACATAATGTATAAACAAACTTTTAGCCTTAGAACGCCATTTTTCTTTTTTTGTTTTTATAATTTTCTTTAAAGAATATAAACAATATGGAGGATTCTAATGATTATAATAAAGATATATATAAGACAAATGCATTTTTTTCGCCATATTCTGAAACTTTAGACTTTTTATTATCACCATTTAATGATAATTTTGCTATAAATTTTTTACCAGTTGTTGAACCAGATTTTAATCATAATTTTACAAACATAGATAGTTTTTCTCTTAAAACACCTTCTAAACCATCTATTAACCATTCTTTAGAGTTACTTTCTGAGCCTTCTTTAGAGTTATCTCCTGAACCTTCTTCTGAACTTTCTTCTGAACCTTCTTGTGAAACTCCTTTTGAACTACCTTTTGAAGAACATTTTGAATCATTATCTGAACAGATTTATCAGTATAATCTTACTGTAGGAGATTATTTTGATGATTGGCAATCAGTTGATACATTTATGCATCAATATTGTTTAGAAAGAGGTTTGGATATCAAGTTTATCGAAATGATAAAGATCCAAATGATTTTACTATTATACGACGTAAATCATTTCGTTGTTCTTCAAATGGAAAATATGAATCCAGAAAAGTAATAGATCAGAAATTGCATCGTTTACGTGGTACTATAAAGACAAATTGTGAGTGGCACTGCAACTTCTCATTTCCAAAAACGGCAAATCAAGTAAAATGTACATCATTAAAAGATATACATAATCATGAAGTAAACCCTACCCAATTACCTCATATCATTGCTAGATATAGACGTTTTGATAACGAAATGATAAAAGACTTGAAATTTTTTTTGGATTGCAAAGTTGCACCTATTATACAACTAGAAATTCTTAAAAGAAAGTATCCAGAACATGTATTTCATAAACAAGACGTTTATAATGCTATTTATAATTTATGCCAGAATAATAAAAATGAAAGACCTGACTCTTTATTATTTCTTGATATCTTATTTGAAAAAATGACTCAAGACCCACGTTGGAAAGTTTTTGTTCGTCATACTGGTAGTGAAAATCGCCTATCAGGTATATTTTGGATATCTCCTAGTCAACTAGAATTGTATAGGCGATTTTCTGATATAGTATTAAATGACAATACTTGTAAAACTAACAAGTATAATATGTACTTAAGTGTATTTATGATAAAAGATAACTATGGAAGATTTCGCAATGTGGCAAATGCTTTAATAGAAGATGAACTTTCTTCAACATACACTTGGATTTTACAATGTTTGGTAAAAGCAACTGACAATATAATTCCAAAATCATTTTGGACTGATTCTGAACCTGGATTAATTAATGCTGTTGCTCAAGTTTTTCCAAATACACCACATTTTTATTGTATGTTTCATATATGGCAGAATATTATAAAGCATCTTAAATCCAAATTAGGCGAAAACTTTAGTAATTTTAGTAAAGCTTTCTATGCATGTAGAAATGCATTATGTATAGAGATTTTTGAACAACGTTGGGAATTTATGATAAAATCATTTCCAAACTGTGAACGTTATATGACTAGAACATTATATAATAATAGAATTAGTTGGGCTAAAGC